CAATCTTCACGATATACTACAGGGTAATTCACTGAAAAATGGACTATCCATGTTTTTTTATAAATGCAAAGAAAATGTTTAGACCTCTCAGAACTCCGCTTCAATTTTAATACCACCATTTTCTCTGATGTCTATAGCTTTAAGTTGATACCAAATTTGGCTATCCGATCTTGCCCGTTGTTATGTTAGAGCCGATTTCCCTTGCCACATTGCCCCGAAAAATGTTTTTTTTTTTTAGGTCCGCGGCTGAATCATGAAGGATTTGCGGTCATAAATCACGGCGCGTGGGGGCGCGTGACACACGTTCTGACACCGCGGACAAAAATAAACACATTTTTCGGTGCAATGTTGCAAGGAAAACGGCTCTAACATAATAACGGGCAGAATCGGGCAGCCAAATCTGGTATCAACTTAAAGCTTAGACATCAGGGAAAATGTTGGTAATAAAATTTATGCGGAAATTCCTGGAAATCCAAACGTTTCCTCTGGATTTATAAAAGATAAATCCCCCCCAAAATTAGTTTTGGCGCACTTTGGTTCCTCCCTGGCCCACTGTGGAGCGTAGCGAGCGAGCTTTGGGGGAAATTGCTTTTGGTCGCTTGAAATTAGGAGCACGTTTAATGATGAGAGGAAAAGGGGACACTTATCAAAAGGGTTAAGACACTAATTAGAAAAGAAAAGGAGCACGTGTCAAAGTAGAAAGGCTAATTATCAGAGGTGAAAATGGGGCACTTCTTACACCTAAAAAAAAGAGGCATGCACCAGAGATAAAAAGAAAATGTGCATTTGTCGACGGAAAAGAGGCACCCATCAGATTTTGATAGGGGGCATTTATAAGAAGTGAAAAGGGGCATTTATAAAAAAAGGGATAGGTTCTTTATTAGAAAGGAAATTGGGCACATATATATCATTGTTCAAAGGGTAATGAGAAGGGGAAGTGGCTCTTATTAAAAAGAAAAAGAGACACATGTTTAAATTAACATAATAAAAAGGGCATTATTAGGAAGGAAAATGGGGACGTGTCAAAATAAAAGGGGCATTTATAAAAGATGAAAAAAGCACTTATCAGGAGGGGAAGGGGTACTTGTCAAAGTAAAACGAGTATCTTTCAGAATTGAATAGTGTCATTTACAAGAGATGAAAAGGGGCCCTCATGAGAATGAAAAGGAACTATTTTCATAGATGAGAAGGGGCATTTATGAAAAGGAGAAGGGGCTCTTTTTTGAATGGGGCACTTATTAAAAAGGAAAGGGGGCACATGTGAAAATGTAAGGTGCTCTTATCCAATTTAAAACGTGGTAGATATTAAAAGGAGAAGGGGCACTTTTTACAAATGAAAAGGGAAACTTGTCAAAGCAAAAGGGGAACCTCTCAAATTTGAATAGGGCAATTATTAGAGGTGAAGGGGGCGCTTATCAAAAGTGAAAAGGGCACTTCTCGTACCTAAAAAGGGGAACTTACTAGAGATTAAAAAAGGCACTTATGAGAATGAAAAATGGACACTTATTGCAAAGGAAAATGGGAACTTGTCAACATGAGGAAAAGGGGAACGTGTCAAAATAAAAGGGACACTTATCAGAGGTAGAAATGGGAAGGGGCACTTTTAAAAATTAATAGGGGCACTTTTCCTATGTAAAAGGGGCACTTGTCAAAGTAAAAGGGTCACTTTTCCTATGCAAAAAGGGGCACGTTAAGGATATTAGAAAAAGTGGGAGGGCACTGTGCCCCCCTGCCCCCCCCCCCCGGAGCGCCGCCTCTGCCTTAAAGAGGGCCACTGGATGCTCATCTAAACGTAATTAAATACCTAAAACCACTGAGCTTCTGGAGGCTCTGCCCCCTGGACCACATCAATGCCAGTGTCACAAATAAGGTATCTAATTATGCTTATCTGACCGCAATTTAATGTCTAAAAACCCTGAGCTTCCGGGGGCTCGGCCCCTTGACCCCTGTCGGGGCTCAGGCCCTGGACCCCACGCCAATTTACGCTCTACCTGATCGTGAAAAACGTTCCGCGAGGCCTGCATGTAACGTGTAAGAGTGGTGATAGTGATGCAGATTTTTCTTCTCCCGCCCCCCCCCTTCCAAACGTTTTTGCTCATCACGTCACTGCCCCCGGAAGGTGAGCCCCCTGGAATGTTTGCCCCCCCCCCCCCATCCCCACTTGTCAGGATTTTGTTGGTAAAATTGCGCTGCCGTCCGGAAAAAAGAAAAATGGGGGAGGGAAAAAAGAGAGGGAAAGGGAAAAAAGAGAGGGAAAGGGAAAGAAAAGAAAAAAGAAAAGAAAGAAAAAAAGGAAAGAAAGGAAAAGAAAGAGAGAGGAAAAAAAGAGGGATGAGAGGAAAGAAAGGAAAAGAAAGAAAAGAAAGAAAAGGAAAAAAAGAGTAAAAGGGAAACAAAAGAAACGGGTGATGAAAGAGAGGAGAGGGGAGGGAAGAGCCTGAGAGAAGAGAAGTGGGAGTAAAAGAGAGGAGGGGTTGCTGGGTGGAGTCGTCTCGTCGATCCCATCGCCCGATTGCTGCAATGGCCGTTTCATTAACAATTAGGGCCAGGTCTTCATCTGTGCAACCCGTTCCGCCGCGCTGCAAGATGTGGTCTATTGTATTTATAATGGGATATATATATGGAAGGATTCAAGATTATTTAGCCTTTTCCAGTGCAAGATTAGTCAACACCAGTGTTAAAGGGATCCGGTAACTTTGTTTCAGATTCTGAAACAAAATTCTGAATTTAGCTCATGCTGCAATGATAATTATAAACCTTTAGGTCAGTCAGGAACCCCATGACTTTTACAGGCCTATCGCCTGTCTGATTATCAAGATATTTATGATTGGAATTACAAATTTTGAAAACCGTTAGCCAAACAGTTTTCATAACACTACAGTCTATTGGGAAAAACGAGTATGGTAAAACCGGTCACTCAAAGATTTTTACTTTTTTGAGGCACTTCTTGATCATTTCGAAGCGCAATTTTGTTTCTAGGGCTTCAATATTACACCATTTCACAGACACTGATAACATGTAGAGCTGCATGTGCATCTCAGATTTAACATTGTTACATGCTCCCTTTAAAATGGTAGTCGATCTTGGAGCTAAGACTGGAGATTGAGAATTGTATCTACTTGTGTTTATAAGATATACCACAAGATTTTAGTAACTGATTTGCCTACCAATAACGGTTAAAGTGCGCATGATTTTTCGTTATTTAGTCATTTTGTTTTCAATTTACAGCGCAGAAAACCTTTTTACTGCAAGATAAACAATGCAGAATAAGCTTTAGACAGTTTCAAGTCGATACGAGACTTCAGAATTATATATTTTTTGATATTAGACTAATCGTTATTATTTGTTTAATTATACTCATGTTTACGTGATATAAATCATCTACATTGTACATGTATTTCTTTTACATTTTCATAGCTTGTTAACTCTGCCTAAATACACCTGTACCTGCTTGATCTAGCTTTTGGATTGATGTACATGTATAACCTATTTGTGTTCAATTATTTGTACTATTTTTGTACTTTTTTCGGACATGAAGCTGGTAAGAAATATTACTGGTATCCATCCACTTTCCCTTTGATTTAGCAAATTGGCAACAAAAAGTAATCTACTCAAAAGTGCATGCATTTGCACCCTGTTTTCAACAACATTTTAATTTTTATTTTTTAATTTTTTAAATGAATATTTCTTATCATATCTTAGGATTTAAAAGGCACAATTCCACCTTTTATTTTTTTTTCTTCATTTGTTAAGTTTGTACTACTGCAATATACATTAAAAAAAAGATTAATGAAAACTGAAATGAACAATAAAACAGAAATAATTGAAATGTTTCCCTCAAAAAACAAAATTAAGAGGTACTTTTTATTTGCCCAACTGCTTTTATGAAATGCACCCAATAAACAATCTGAACTGAAATTAAGTATTACTTGTTATTCAATTTGTGTGTGTGTGTTTCACCAGTATACATTGTAATGATGAGGTTTATTTGTTCATAGTATTTTTATGAGCATCAAGCACGCTCTTTTTTGTTTCAGAAAACACATTTACTTTTGTAACAAAATTATGAGTATTGACAATTGTCTTTTCTTATATAAGTTGTCACCTCTACAATTATGTGTATGTAAGCCAGTTCACATCCCTTTTAAATTCAACTCTTTCCTTTTAAAGACATAAGGGACCCCACTGGAAATAAGCTCTCGAGCTTTCGTGGGTTATCCTGTTCAAGCTGACTTTTTTTTGATCTGTTATTATTGTATATTGTGGTATGTTGGAAGCTTGTCGAATAAAAATCAATCAATCAATCAATCAATCAATTTCATATCCCTCCTCCTTCTCCCCCATCAGCCAAAAACTGAGAAATTTAACATACAACAAAAGCCTTATAATACCTATTTGAAGTTTTGTTACATCAATTTCTTGTCTCTTTTTCATCAAATTTGAGAAGTCTTGTGCAAAAGACCCCCTCTCTTGTCAACATTTTTCCATCAGTTTATTCCTAATGAAATTATTTTGCTGTATTTCTCACAAATAAAATCGATTCCTAGTTACTTTGCACACATGCTTTAACTATTTTGCCTTAACACTAGTCTTTCTTTTGTTTTCCTCCTTTATTCGAAATATTTTTGTTTTGAAGTAAAATGCACGTTCATCTGTAGTAATTTCAAACCTGCATTTTTATCCGGGGTCAAAAGAAAAGAAAAAAAAACTTGTGTGGAACTGATTTTATTTTCATAGTATTTGTAGTAACTATCTGGGAAAGTCATAACTGTGATGTAAATTGCATGAAATGCATGTATAACAAAGAACTTCTTTCTTCTTATTTTAAATCTATATCGAGAAATTAGCAATCATTTTTACTTGGCCCTATTTAAATTTTCACAGAAGTATGTTCCACTTCAGCATTCACTTAACATGACACTGCATGCCATTGTTTAAATTTCATGTGGGAAAAATAAAATAAAAACATGATTGAATCAAATCAACCTTGATGTTTTTAGCCCCAGCCCGTGTCCAGATGGCTACTACTCTCTGGCCAACGCCACCACCTGCATCCCGTGTCCAGGGGGCTACGAGTGCACCATGCATCCAGTCTGCTGACCCTGTGCTCTGTACGGCTGGAACCTACGCGCCCAACGGTAGCGTTGCGTGCCAGGACTGTATACTGCCCAGTTGATGGATTAGTGGAACCAATCGGGTGAGGAAAAATTTATTTCTTCTCTTGAAATCTGAAATTGCAGTTATTCAGTCTTCTTATAAAAAACAAAGACTCTAGAACAGTGAAACCTGTCTATACAGACCACCCAAGGGAGACAAGAAAGTGGTCTTTATAGGCAGGTGGTCTTTATGTGCAGGTTCCTTTAGTAGTCTACATGTTTCAATGAGAAACCATTTTCAAGGGAAACAAAAATTGTGGTCTTTATAGACAGGTGGTCTTTCTGTACAGGTGGTTTCTAAAGCAGGTTTGACTGTAGTATTTTTAACAATTTTGGATCCATGTTTAAGCTTTTAAAAGAGATTGTTGAGGTCTGGGCCCTGTTTCATTAAACTTGTTATCAATAAAAAGTTATAACTGTTATGAGCTACTAAAATGGTGGCATTTTATCGGCTGAGAGCAAATTTTTGATAGAAATTGAGCATTTGTTATTGCATAGCAAGTTTTAAAGATAAGCTTGAGTTTTGGTAATGATAAAAAATAAATTCTCACAGACAAGCGCGTAGCCAGGATTTCATTTTAGGGGGGGGGGGGGGCGGTAGTGAGCACGCAAAGCTCTAAGCTAAAGCTAAAGCTTTAATATACAACAGCTTAAAATCATATCCTAAGTTAACTCTAGCTATCTTGATCCCACAGGGTTATTTCTCTGAGGGTGGACTAACGGAGTGCCATGCCTGTCCAGCAGGATACCAATGTCCATCCACATCGGTCAACAGCTCTGTTCCCTGTGGCATTAATTGGCTACTACTCTGACGCTGGGGCACAGGTAGGTCCAGGAGGTGGATGATAATTTCACGATGATGATAGTTATGTCAATGATAATGATGGTGGTGACGATGGTGGTGGAGGTGTTAATAGTGATGATGATGGTGATTGTGATGATGGTGGTGACGGTGGAGATGATAAATAATGATGGTGTTTGTGATGACAGTGATGGCGGTGGTAGAAATGACGACGATGATGGTGGTGGTGGAGATCATCATGATAGTGATGTTGATAATGCTGATGATGGTGTTGATATGGATGGCGATGATGACGGTGATGATGGTTATAATGATGATTATGATGATTTTTCGCAATTTGTGTAAATTTCTGGCCATGAAAATGGCAGTCCTTTACATCTTTACATGATAGTGATGTTGATAATGCTGATGATGGTGTTGATAATGCTGATGATGGTGTTGATATGGATGGCGATGATGACGGTGATGATGGTTATAATGATGATTGTGATGATTTTCGCAATTTGTGTAAATTTCTGGCCATGAAAACGGCAGTCCTTTACATCTTGTGCAATTGTAAATTAATACAGTTGACCTTGTTTAAAGAATACCACCTCCAGGAGGGTGTTTCACAAAGATCCTTAGTTGAACTTATCTCTAAGTTGGACTCAACAATTATGGAAAGCCTTTAGTATCTTTGAAAATATTTTGTAAAAGTTATTTTCAAAGGCATAAAATGTTGATTCAAATCATTCATATTTTCTATTTTCTATTTTCAAGGAGATTTCATGTTCTTGATGTGGAATTTATGGAAGTCTAAAATACTTGAATTTTTGCTTTTGAATAGATTTTTTTTAAGGCTACAAATGGCTCTCCATAATTTTTAAGTCCAACTTAGAGTTAAGTTCAACTTAGGATCTTTGTGACACACTCCCCTGGTCTCCTGACTCATTTTTCACTGTATTTTTATATTTGTTATTCGCAGTCTTGCACAAGATGTCCGCCAGGCAAGGAATGTCCAGACCGTGACGATTCTTCCACCATCGTTGATTGCGAGGAGGGCTACTACAGTGGAGGTGGTCAAGAGAGCTGTACGATCTGCCCCGCTGGAAAGGCTTGCCCTTACACATCCAGCACGTACCAGAAGTCATGCACAGAAGGCTACTATGCAGTAGCAGGCTCAACGGTAAGCATCACTATCTTCTTCTTCTTTCGTATGAGGTAGTAGTATCATCAAATTATTTCTTGAAGCTGGGTAAGCCAGTGGACTTGTGCTTCATTTGGGCTTGACAGATCCGTCATCCCATCAGGAGGTTTGAGAATAAGGCAGTTGTAGATGACATGGTCTGCCGTCTGCTCATCTGCACCTCAGATGCATGTCGGTGATTCCCGAAGTCCCCAACGGTACATATTGGCGTGAATCTTCCTACCCCAGTTCACAGCCTATTGAGTGTTACCCAATCCCTCTGAGGTAGCTCAGAGCCAGACGGAGCTGTGATGCCAGGGGGAACAGTGAACTGCCGTGGGCAGATCAGCATGATGTTCTGTTTTAGCCGATTCCACAAATGAAGAACAGGGGAGTGTTTCACAAAGATCCTAAGTTGAACTTATCTCTAAGTTGGACTTAAAAATTATGGAAAGCCGTTGGCATTTTTGAAAATAATTTGTAAAAGTTATTTAAAAAAGCATAAAATGTTGATTCAAATCATTCATATTTTCTATTTTTAAGGAGATTTCATGTTATTTATGTGGAATTTATAAAAAGGCTAAAATACTTGATTTTTTGCTTTTTAATATATTTCATTTTAAAGCTACACATGGCTCTCCATAATATTTAAGTCCAACTTAGAGTTAAGATTGACCTAGGACCTTTGTGAAACACCCCTCTGGTCTTTAGGAGAATATTCTTGTGGAGGTGTAATTGGACATTGTGTAGTGGTTCATTCAGTTGACCCTCAGTTCAAGGGTTTTGATATACAAACCTAACCATTTTTTTTTTTTTTTTTTTCATTTCAATCTTTATTCCAATTCATAAAAATACAACAACATCAAATATAAAACACAATAGCATTATATACAACATTTAGTAAAAATGGTACAAAAAATAAATACATAAGTTTCATAATAATATTGTAAAAATGAATGGAAAAGGAGGCGTACGTAAAAAGCCAAGGGTAGGCTTGTAAGAGTGTACGACCCTACAATTTAAATAATGTATGAATATATATTGCAAAAAAATAACAAGTACCAACAATACTGTATCATCATATACCAAAACACAAAATAAAAAATCAACAAAAACAACAACAACAAAAAAATCAATAATTTCCAATCAAATATTTTTTATATTGCCTTTTAAATGAGTTATTAAATTGAATATTAAAGTTACTTAAATTTAGACTATTCCAAAGGATTGGGCCTGTGTGGCGTAATGAGTATTTTGATTTATTATTTAAATACGTCCAACGGTGAAAATGATTGCAAGATCTTGTATTATAATTATGGATATTTCTATTTTTTACAAACATATTCATTAAATATGGGGAGAGTGTTTGAGAGTGAAAACGTTGCATAAACGAAGCAATTTGGATCTTATTTATATCTTGTAATTTGAGAGTATATAATAATTTAAATAATGTGGAAGTAGAAGCAGTATACTCGGACTTCGTACATACTCGTATGGCTTTCTTTTGTAACATTATTAGTTTATGTAAATGGCTCGAATATGTGTTACCCCATATTGAGTTACAATACGACAAGTGTGACAAAACATAAGCATTATAAAGAAGAAATAATATGTTACTAGGCAATTCATACTTCAATCGACTTAAAATCCCTATGAATCGTGAAATCTTCAAGCGTACTAAATCAATGTGATCCTTCCAAGACAAACTACTATTTAATACTACACCTAAAAACTTAACAGAATCATAGAATTTCAAAGGAACTGCATCTATTTTCAACAATATATCATCGACATTAAATTGCACACCACCCTTTTTAAACAGAACACATTGGGTTTTACTAGTATTTAAAGAGAGCTTATTACATTTAAACCATGCTGATATGTGGGCAAGACTTGTATTCAAAGATTCAACTAAAGCTTCAATATCATTATGAGAGGCAAGGAGTGAGGTGTCATCCGCATACAAAATACAGTCACATTCATGGCAAGAATTCACAATATCATTAATATAAATTAAAAATAGTAATGGTCCAAGAATTGACCCTTGAGGGACACCTGTGTTTATATTACCGAAAGACGAATTATGTGAGTTATAAACTGTAAATTGTTGTTGATGTAATAAATAAGATTGAAACCATTTTAAGGAAAGACCTTTAATGCCATAATGCTGCATTTTTTGTAATAAAATATCGTGTGAAAGGGAGTCAAAGGCCTTGGATAGGTCCATGAATACGCCAATAACACTTTTACCTTCATTAAGTTCTTTAACTATTCTATCATGAATTTCAATGACTGCCATGTCTGTTGAGTAATTTTGTCGGAAGCCATACTGACTATCATATAAAAAGTTATGCTGCAATAAATAGTCATATAATCTATTAAAAACTAACTTTTCCAAAATTTTAGAAAAACAAGGTAAAATTTTTTAAACTTTTTAAAATAATAATCCCTTTTTGCTCTGCGTAAACGAGTTGTGACCATATTACGGAGCTTTTTGTATTTATCATAGTTTGCTTGAATCGATCTTTTCAAGTAATTCTTGTACAATTTATTTTTCGTTTTAATAAGTTTTAACATATCAAGAGATACCCACGGTTTTCTATTTCGTTTGCGTTTTTTAATATGTTTAGTTTGTACAGGAAAATGTTCATTATAATAGCCAATAAACTTTTCATAAAATACATCATAGGCCCTTTCAGTATCATTCTCCTGGTATACTTCAGACCAATCAGCATTTGCAAGATCAACACTCAGCCTATTACAATTTTCAATAGTGACTTTTCTAAATGAGAATGACTTTGATTTACTGTTATTTACCCTGTCTAAAAAGTGTGAAATATAGAAAATAGGAAAGTGGTCTGTTATGTCTGTTACAAAAATACCGGAAATAATGGAGCTAGAAAAGACGTTCGTATAAATATTATCAATATTTGTTGCTGACCTTGAATTAACACGGGTTGGTCTATTTATTATAGGATAAAAACCAGATGATGCGACTGTATTGATAAAATCGAATATTTGCGAGTTTGTGTATTTCTTCATCAAATCAATATTCAAGTCGCCCATTAAATATGCACGTTTATTTTTTATTTCATTATAATTCATTAATTTATCAAAGAAAGAAGAAAACTGAATAACGTTTGATTTAGGTTGACGATAAATAATCGCTACAACAATATTTTTAGATGTTTTGCAATCTATTTCTATACATAAACAATCAACACCTTCGCATTGTTCAGAGAACTGGACAAGTTTATAATTCAAGTCCTTTCGAATAAATAGACCAACTCCACCACCACGTCCGGACGGACGGTCAACATGCACAAATGTATAACCTTCTATTACAAAAGGAACATGTGAATTGGAATTAATCCATGTCTCTGATATTCCTATGACTGAGAATTGATATTGAAGATTAGAAAGATAGGCATGTATTTCTTCAAAATTACGAAACATACTTCGGGCATTAAAATGAATTATGCTAAAGTTTTGATTAACTGAATTATCTATAATTTCATTAAATTCAGATGATAAATAATACTTTACAGGAGGATTTGAATGTGTGTCTTCTTCATTTTCATTCAAACTTTCATCTTCAAAATTAAAGCCATTTAGAGAGACATCATATTGATTTACAGGTGAGAATAATCGTTCAAAATCTTCATTATTAACTTCTTGAAAGGGGAGACAATTTACAATTTACCATAACCCGGTGGTGTTGATTATGATGGTGATGATGGAGATGGGTTTTCGTTTATAAATAACTATACTCAGTTATATCGGGAGGAGAGACCCGAGGGTCACGGTGATTCCATCACTTTTTACCTCCCAAGCAGGCACAAGTGACGCCAAATAATTGATAATAATAATAATAATAATAATAATAAGATGAGCCAAGTAATCATTCACGTTTAAAAGAAAACTGTGGTTTGAATTGTTTCTGTTGACTCTATACATATACGTAATTTTAAATTTTTGTTGTTGTTTTGCCATACAGGAATGTACTTCATGTCCAGCGGGAGAGTTCTGTAATGACACCAAGACTTCGCCGGAAACCTGTCCAGATGGATATTACAGTGACGGTAAAGATCATTATATTTATTCATTTATTCATTTATTTATTTATTGAAACACATTTGTACATGATATAAACATGATCAGCAAAGCTGTTTTTCATCATGGTCCTGATAAGGGACATACAAGTCTTAAAAAATAAAAACATTTCAAGTAGAGCAATCAAATACAGAAATTAATAAATGAACATTACATTGCAAAAATAAATTGCTGTAGCATAATGAAATGTAATTAAAATGAGATATATGGCGAAACATACAAAAACATAAAGAACACTAATCCATAAAACAATAAAGGAGCCCTAACCATAGACTTTGGACGGAGACAGAGAAGAAGACAGAAGGAGAACAAGAAGAAGAGGAAGAACAAGAAAAACAAAAATAAGAAAAAGAACAAGAACAAGAGGAAGAACAGGAAGAACAAGAACAAAGATAAGAACAAGAAGAGGAGGAGGAGAAGAGGAAGAAGAAGATGCGTTTTATAATGCACCAATCACAAAGTTCAAAATATGAGTTTCATTTCAATAATCATTATTAAAACAACTTATGAGACAACCTACCCGTAGTGGTGCTCTGTTGGACAGAGATAATGCTATACGATGTGTATAGTTGAACGCAGAAAATCAAGCTCAAATGTTGTCATCCTCCTTTGCAGTCGGCCTGTACGCTGACGGACGCGGCACCTGTCATCTGTGATGCTGGTTACTATAGCAACCAGTCTAGCGTCGCTTGTGACACCTGTGATCCAGGCTATGCTTGCTCAGAAGGATCGACCAGCCGCACACCAACAGAGGGACTCTGTAAACAAGGTAATATAATTATTTGTTGATTTATTTTATTAAAGGAGTGTAGTCATGTCTACCTTGGTCTGCTCCACCAAGGTCTAAAATGCGTACCTTACTGTTACTATTACTATTACTATTACTATTACTATTATTAGTATTATTACTATTATTATTACTATTACAATAATTATTATTATAACTATTACTATTACCATTACCATTACTATTATTATTATCTCTATTATTATTATTATTATTACTATTAATATTACCATTACTGTTACTATTATTATTATGAATATTATCATTTTCATCATCATCATCATCATTAATATTATTGTTACTCTAATTTCCAGGCTATTACATCACTGTTATTTTTATTATTATTAATACTACTATGACTATTACTACTACCTACTATTACTATTATTATTGTTACTATTGATTATTATTATCATCATCATTTATATAATTGTTACTCTTAATTTCCAGGTTATTACTGCGATGATGGACTGAACGAGCTTGCGTGTCCGGCCGGTACCTATGGGAACAGGACCAATGCAGCCACAGCAGAGGAAGGGTACATGTATGCTGCATGCCCTGAAGGTGAGACTCATCGTACATTAAAGCCCCACTGCACTACTTATAGCTACTTGCGCCCTCTATATAGCAAGCAATGCCTAATCGGTGACCTTTGGTCCCCTATGATCCTCTTTTTCTTATTTTAATTGAGAGCTGAGTTGATGAGATAACCACTTGTCAGTAACCTTGCAGGGAGGTGTAATCCCTCCTGGTCAAACTAGTGTGGTGGGACTTTGAAGGAAGGGTATTTTACTGACATCGCTATCAATGCTGTAATGTATTTTCAATTTGGTAATCTTTCGGTGAAGGCGTACATAGGCGATTTACAGTTACTGTACCCAAAGCATTGTGGGACATGGCTGTAGACACCTACGTAAATCTAATGTGGTGTCAAGAGAATACCCTGCCATAAACTGAAGCAGTTCAGAGTTTTCTAAAGAACAAAATCAATGAGAAAGGTGGAGAGGAAGAGGAGGAGGAGGAGGAGGAGTGATAGTGATTTACATAAACCCAATTCCTTTTGATGAAAATCATCTTGATATGCTAACACAGGGTTGGACATTGGACTCCCCCTCAGTCTGTACCCCCCTTCAAGTTCTAATCTCTCCCACTTCCCCCTCTGTAGGTTATTTCTGTCCTCAGGATCCTGTCATCGGGACCCCCACTGTGGAGTACTTGTGCCCCCGCGGGTACTTCTGTGAGTTCTCTACCGAGACATCCACCGAACACCCCTGCATGGCCGGCTCCTATGGCACGGACCTCGAATTTACGAAACAAGACGACTGCTCAAACTGCCCCATTGGGTTCTACTGCCCTGCAGGTAAGGCATTCCTCCGTGTATGCAATGAAAATACTAACCATTTCATATAAAGCGCCTTTTTTTATACCAGTTGCAACATAACTAATATAAAACGTAGACTCTGTACTGATGCGGGTTAAAGAGCACTGGTTAAAGAGCGCTGGTTATATCAAGTATTTAAAAGCTTCCCTGTTTTAACTACCTGGTGTCAACACAATGTGGTCATGAAGCAAAAAATTAATGTGTGCAGACTTTTCTGCCCTTTCTTTATTATGCATGTGGTATATTTTTAGGGCTTTGAATCAAACTTTACTGAGCCTAACCACAAAATATGAGAATCCTTACTCAATAGGGCTTTTATTTATATCCATTCATAAAATTATGCCTTTTTCTTTTTTTCCAGTCACGCCCTCACATTGACACTGTCCTGTTTTTGTTCTTGTTCTTGTTTTTGTTTCTCAGGTACCAGTTTGCCGCGAGCTTGTCCCAAGGGTTACTACTGTCCTGAAAGCACTTGGGCAGGTGATGCCAACCCTTTCCCGGATGGTACATTCACAGAAGTGGAAGGACCCGAATGTAAGTCTTGCATTTTTTGCAGTGTATTGTTTTGGAGGCATTTTTTGGCGTCTCTACAGGATTTCAAAATACTGTTGCCTTTCAAACTTTTCCTGACTTTTCCACATAATCCGATCATAACGTTTACCTTAAAGCCTTACTGTCCTACTTGCTCCCTCTATATAGAAAACAATCCCTAATTTGGTGACCATTGGTCCCCGATGATCCTCTTTTTCTTATGTTAATTGAGAGCTGAGTTTATTAGATAACCACCTGTCCAGTGACCTTGCATGGTGCTCTAATCCCTCCTATAGACTAATACAGATAAGCTTTAATGAAATTGCGTACCCGTCTCCAGAGGTGGATGTTTCTTGGTGTGCTCGCCTTCCAAGTTCTGTAGAAATGTTTCTGAACTGTAGCACTAGGTATAGGTCACGGGACACAAAGCATGACTGTGCGCATTGCTCACTTTCCAGACATTAAGTGTACCTCCTAAAGTCTGGTAAAGGCCGCCAAAGTCTATTAACTGCGCTTCTGTAGAAACCAACTGGTTACATTCCGATAGGGGTTACTTTTTCTGAGTCTACTCCTGGCCCCATTTCACAAGTCTTTCACAAGTCATCAGTGACAAATGTCAATTTTTGTTATAAGCTACTGAAATCCTTGCTTCTGATTGGTTATCAGCAGATTTGTCACTGATTTTTGTCATTTGTCATTGAAAAAAGGCTTTGTGAAACGGGTCCCAAGTACATTATACCATTGCTTTCTGGGTTACCTGTAGAAACACGCTGATTGTAAATTTGGAAACCAGCCAAACCATCCATTCACTCTGCACAGTAGCCTGTCATGTCATCAACATCAATGGCGTTCTTTATTCCATCTCCATAGACTTTGCACCTCAATGTCTGTGTGCATGCAGGATAAATGTTTCGTCATTAATACATGTAAGTAGCCACATTGTACTAGTGTATCTTACACTAAATTAATTTGATTTATCCAGATAAATTTTGCATGGGTATAGTTTTGAAAATGTTGTCCACATTGTCTCAAAGGGCTTTACAGATGAAATATTTGTTTTTCTTTGCAGCTCAAACGGAATGCAAGACTTGCCCTGCTGGTTACTATACTGCCCATCGGGTACCGACACACCCCAGGCCTGCCCTGCTGGCACCTTCAATCCCTCTGTTGGGCAGAATGAGGAAACCGACTGTACCGACTGTACCGACTGTACCGCCGGTTACGCCTGCACAACCATTGCCTTGGTAGAGCCTGATACCTTCTGCTACCCTGGGTATGTAATAACAAACTTCAAAGAGATTAAGAAAACACTTAAAGCCCCACTGCACTACGTATAACTACTTGCGCCCTCTTTATAGCAGACAATGCTTAATCGGTGCCTGTTGGTCCCCCAAGATCCCCTTTTTCTTATGATAATTGAGAGCTTATTTGATGAGATAACCACCTGACAGTGGCCTTGCAGGGAGGTCTAATCCCCCAACCAAACTAGTGCAGATGGGCTTTAAAGGGTAATCCGACCATGATAGCAAACTACTCCAGAGGAAAGCAAAAAATCAGAGAAGTTGCCTGCTGAAAGTTTGAATGAAATTGGACAAAACATGTGAAAGTAATTTTTTTGGTAAAGTTTAATCACTGTGGGTATGGGCTCTTCAAGTTGCTGAATCGGTAGTGAAGCTGTAATACACATTTCTGCCTCTTTTATGTTTATTCTCTATCATGTTTTCCCCGACCAGGTACTTTTGTCCACTAGGAAGCGACAGTCCTAATGCTGCTGCAAACGCTTGCCCAGCTGGAACGTTTAATGACTTTCACAATCTGACCGCAGCCTTCCAGTGTGATACCTGCGAAGAATAGTTTGCTTGTTATGAAGGTGAGTGTAGTAGATCCCTGCAGATTGTCAAATTGGCAATGTATTAAAACAATGAGTAACTACCCTTCCCCAACCTGGCCGCAGCCTGCCATTGAGAGACCTGCAAAGAATCATTTGCTTGTTATGAATCACTGGAGTCTAGTTGTCACTGTTGAGTCTAGTTCGATTGGCAATACAAAATACCAAATATGATAACTTCCACAACCTGACGGTGTATCTTCTTTGTTCTTAGGTACGGGCAGTATCCAACAGCCTCCTTCGGAAGGCGCCGAGGGTCACTACTGTCCAGCTGGTACTCAGCACTCTGAACAGTACCCCTGTCCTGCTGGCTCCTGGACCAATCAAACCAATCTGAAATCCGTTGAAGAATGCTACGAATGTCCCAGAAGATACTACTGTCTAGAGGCTTCAACGGAACTGACTGCACAGTGTCCAAAGGTCCACTACTGTCCAGCAGGTATGTGCAATGTACAGAGAAGATGACAGGAATTAACGTAACGTTGTGGCCTGAAAGAAAGTCATTAACAGCTGCATGAACAGCAGAAACATTTTTCAAGAAATATTCAATTTCATTTATGGAGGCACGATGTCTCAGTGGTAGACCAGAGGTCAGAAAAACGGGAGGTTCCAGGTTAGGTCCCGGATTCGAAATCAAGTTGATGTGCTGGTGCCCTTTGGTAAGGCATTAATCCTCATTACCAAGTCCCTCAGAGAGGACTTAAAACCGTGGGTCCCCTGGTTGCTTACTCAGAAGCATACACATGCTTTAATAGCAGTCAGGTAAAACAAATGAACAAACAGCTTGATGGAAACATTCTGCATGACTCTGTCCAATCTGTGTTTCGTTTATCTCTCCACAGGGACCCAGTCAGCTAACCAGTATCCATGCCATGCCGGCTCCTACTCCAATGATTAGGGGAACATCAGATGGGAGCAGTGCGTTGATTGTACGGAGGGCCACTACTGCCCAGAAGGCTCATCGTTACCAACGGCATGCCCAGCGTAAGCTCCCGCGACAATAGATTTTCCCTGTATTTTTTGAAAGATATAGGGTTAGGGATGCAAGTGGTTTAGGTTAGGGTTATGGTTATAGTTCAGGTTAGGGTTAAGTAGTTCAGTTCAGTTTAATTTATTCATTCTTCTCAGCATAAAAACAATATTATAATATATACAAAATGGCAAATATACATAGTCAGAGAAAAAAACGGAAACAACAAATAAGTTTATAAAAACTTGTACAGAGTAGTTCCCAGTAAATGGAAAAATACATGGTATAAATAATTGCATTAACAAAATACAAAATTATGCAGATTAACTAAGTAATCCTAGTTACACACGACACCAACAAACGCCATTAATCATACAGGGAGGGTGGGGGTCAATGGTAATTGTAAATTTAATGGAAAAAAATGAATTAACAGAAATTAGATAGTATAATGATAGGCTCTTCACCAATGGCATGCCCAGCTAAAGAACGTCGACATATGCGGTGGTGGTTTTAGTTTTACTAGGGTTATGGTTAGGGGTGGAAATAGGGTTAAATATAGGGACAAAACCAACTTAATATCAGAGTGGACTTCCACTTTGAACATTTCTATAATGTTATTTTCTTACAGTAGAACTTTCCGTGTGGAAGAAGAAGGCCAGAGTGAATCGGACTGTTCTACATGCACGGACGGTCACTATTGTAATGGAACAGGCAATGTTGAGCCAGCTGAATGCTCCAAAGGAACATATTTTGTGAGTCCTACTTTTTTTACAAATCTTATTGTTTCTACTTCCAACATTTTTATTTTTGCTCTTTTTCGGCATGCTTCTTGTGAATCTTTAAAACCCCCTTCATAGCATTCCAAACAAAATTCATTATTATGTATGATTATCATTTTGTTATCACCAAAATGTATCCCTGTTTGAATCCTATTTCTGTTCTTTGTAAACTATGTATGTCTGAGGCCTTTATTTTACATGAGTGAGTGGAACAAATTTCAATGCTGAACTTTTAGTGGAAAAATAAATTAGTTGAATTTAATCGAATTTGAATAGAATGGAATTGTATTGAATAGAATTGGGATTGGAATTTGGAATTTGGATTTGGATTTGGAATTGGAATCTCAATTTGAAATTGATGAATTTAAATTTGAATAGTTCCAGGACTGGGGAGCCACTGATTGTACCACTTGTGAAGCGGGTTACTACTGTGATGTACGAGCCACCACTCAAGACAACATGTACGCCTATAAGATCTGCCCTGCTGGGTTCACCTGTGACTACGGATGCACCACTGCTCCAGATCTCTTTAGCAATGCTTGCGTGGCCGGCTCGTACTGCTTGAGCGGAGATAAGGTACGTGAGGGAAAGATGACTTTAGTTCGGATGAAGATGGGGTTGGGGTAGTTGTTGTTGTTAATGCCATATTGTTTCAGGTTTAGGTTTAGTTTAAGGTTTATTGTCAATTCCATTTTAGATGTAGTTTGGCATCCCCCTTTTTTCCTATTTTGTAGTTCCTTTTGTAGTTACGGACTTGTTAAAATAATTACTCATTATTCTTATGTATCATTTGAGGTGTTCACACTAGTACAATCATTGCTTTTTAGTGGACCCAATCATTGCTTTTTAGTGGACCCCTCTGTTTCCAATATGTATTTCTACATTTGGTGTAAATGTTTATAATTGATTTGTAACGTTTTGTTGGAAACACAAATAAATTGAAATTGAAATTAAAAAGTCATCTCAGTACATTCGCTCTTGTGACCTACTATCTCACAGCTGCCAACCTGCCTATTTTTGGGCCTTCATGCTATTGTTTTGAACCCTAGATTTCTCTCTTTTTCTTACATATTCTTGCCGATGTAATAATAATAATAGTAATAATAATGATAATAATAGCCATTTATATAACGCTGCCTATCTAGACAATTCTATTCCAAGGGGCACAAATGATTTATTACTCCGGCTTTAGCCTAACTGCCATTACAGCGCTCTAGCATTTCAAAGGATTAATTTCTGCGGGGTACCCATTTACCTTACCTGGGCCGAGTGTGGCAAATGTAGATTAATGCCTTGCCAAAGGACCCTAGTGCCGTGTCAGGGATCATTTCCTCTATAATTTTTTATAAATTTTCTCACAGGACCCGTTCCCCCGGCACTGTCTCAATGGAACCTACAGCGATGAGACGGGTCTGATCCAGGAATCTGATGCCAGACCTGCCCTGCAGGGCAGTACTGCAATCCCATAGGACTCACATCACCAGTAAGTCTATAGTATACAAATATACACTGTCTTGAGAGGTTCTGGTTAAAACTATGCGCCCCTCAGCAAATGGTACTATTGGAGTCACCAAGGCCCATAGTTTTAACAAGTATCTCGAAAAGAAGGCATGGTATTTTTGTTTTATATCCTGCATCAGAAATTTATTCCCATAAAAGAAAAAGAAATTTCAACTCCCAAATAGTCCTCCCAAATAGTACTTCTACTCCCAAATAGTACTTTTTCAGAGCAACCTTAAAATAGTTGAAATATTTCTGGTCATATTTCGAGCTCTCAACCACTCAAAAAACCATTAAATTTTTGATGCAGGATATAACAATGTATAGCATTTTAGAGTTTCCTGACAGTCTAAATATATCAACTTTGCTCCTCAAATTGGGTCCAGTTAGTCTCATTATCCACTCTTGTATCGTGTACTGCAATCCCACAGGACTCACATCACCAGTAAGTCTGAAGCAACGTTTATAGCATTTCAGAATTTCCTTTCAGTCTAAATAAATCAACTTTGCTCCTCAAATTGGCACCAGTTAGTCTCATTATCCACTCCTAAATTTATTCAAAAATTAAACCATGTTTACTAAGTGAACTGTAGGATAGTACTGCTTTTCCACAGTATTCACATCACCAGTAAGTCTATAGCAATGTTTATAGCATTTCAGAGTTTCCTCACAGTCTGAATATATGAGATTTTTCTCCTTAAATTGGCAACAGTTAGTCTTTGTAAAAATTAAAACATGTTTACTAAGTGAATCAATGTGAATGAAAAATGACTAAAAAAAAATATAAAAAAGCCAATTTGTATATAGAATTATTGATTTTAGATTTCACTCTGCATTGCTAATTTAGGGACTTTGATTATTATTTACATTTAAATTGTTCTTATTCATGAATGGCACAATGAACTTTATATATTTTCTGTGAATTTCACTCTTTCTGCTCATTTGTAATATCTGATTCCAAGCGCTAAAGGTTTTCCAAATCCCCTCTAATCCAGAATTAGCGTTTTAGAGTGTACATACATGAGCCCTAGGCTAAACTTTCGAAATTAAGATTTTTGAGGGCTATGTGCCTCGGGTGCCTGTTAGTGTCGAGCCCTGCTGTAACCTTTGACCCTTTGACCTATAGGCGGGCGACTGTCCAGGTGGTTATTACTGTCCCGCGGGGACGACTGATCCTTACGAGAACCCCTGCCCGGCGTCCTTCTACCTCAACGCAAGTGCTGGTGAAGACTCGCAAGGATGTACCCTTTGTATCGCTGGTTACTACTGTCCAACGGAAGGTCTGTCGTGGCCCTTGGAATGCACACAGGTAAAGAGATACGTGGTAGTGATGATGTTTATGGTGATGATGATGATGATGTTTAATGGTAGTGCCACTGCTGATGATGGTAATCTTGATGATCATGTTGATGACAATGTTGTTGATTATGCATTTAGGATGATGATGATGACAATGAAAGTGATGATGATGATGATGTTGTTGTTGAATATGCATTTAGGATGATGATAATGACAATGAAAGTGATGGTGATGATGATGATGATGTTGTTGAAAATGCATTTAGGATGATGATGATGATGACAATGAAAGTGATGATGATGATGATGATGATGTTGTTGAAAATGCATTTAGGATGATGATGATGACAATGAAAGTGATGATGACGATGATGAAAGTGATGATGATGATGATGATGATGTTGTTGATTTTATGCATTTAGGATGATGATAATGACAATGAAAGTGATGATGATGATGATGTTGTTGTTGAATATGCATTTAGGATGATGATGATGACAATGAAAGTGATGATGATGATGATGATGATGATGTTGTTGATTTTATGCATTTAGGATGATGATAATGACAATGAAAGTGATGATGATGATGATGATGTTGTTGTTGATTTTATGCATTTAGGATGATGATGATGGTGATGTTATTGTTGATTATGCATTTAGGATGATGATGACAATGAAAGTGATGATGATGATGATGATGATGACTATGTTGCTGATGTTGAAGACTCTTGAGAATGTGTATTGTTTATCGCTGTTTACAACTTTCTTACAGAGGTTAAGAAAAAAAGATACAAAAGACATTTTTGAAATGTGTGATGGCCATAATGATAGTGATCATCATGATGACAATGATGATAATGAAGATGATGATTATGATGAAAATTCTATTGATTATAAATATAGTGGTGATGATTAGCTTAAAGATGATGATGGTGAGAATGATAGTGATAGTTATATTGATAATGATCATGACTATGGTGATTGCAATGATGATGATGAAGATATTTAAATTGATGATGAATATAGTGATTTCGATGATGATTTTGTCGATGACAGCCACTTTAATGATGGTGATCATGATCATGATAATGATAACGAAGATGTTGATGATGATTAACAATCTTTTAAGTAATCATCATCTTCCTCCTCTTTCTCATCTTCATCATTATAATTATAATAACTCCATACTTGTCAGCATTTTCATCTCCATCAACATCTCAATCTCACTCATCCATACCCATACCAACGGACTATATTCACAAAAATTCCCTCCGCATCCTTTCTTGCAGGGATCCTTCTGCCCCGCCAGCAGTCAGTTCCCCCAGCCCTGCCCCACTGGCACCTACGGTAACTCGACCCTCCTGCGTCGCAGCAAGGACTGCACACCTTGTCCTGGTGGCTATTACTGCGAGGGTGCAGGCAACCTGGAACCCACGGATGTCTGCGATGCTGGCTTCTACTGCTCCTGGAAGGCTGTGTCTTCTGTAAGTTCTAAGGGCATTAGTACCAGTGCCCCCCTGTTATATAGTGCCTTTTCAGCCTTCTTTTGTGTCCATCATCTGAGCTTAAATGTTCTGCCACTAGGTCTTCCAGGCAGCATTGGTCATCTAGGAGTGGGCATCTTAAAATAATAAGTGTGACATAGATTGTAAGGATGTTTCTGTTTCTGTGTCATCAGTGTATCCCCATTTATGCATGTTGTTTTAGCATCGCCCCACCCCTGTGCGAAGCCTATTGAGGGACTTTCACGTCTTCAAGTCACATATATGGCCTTATCGGTTACAATTATCTAACTAAAGAGATTGCAGTGTGTATAAGTACTAGTGTTTGGATTCAAGGACAATATGATTCTGCTCTTTTGAATATTGTTTAGTTACAAAAGTAGATTGCGATCCTTGCTCAAATACAGTCAAACCTGTCTACAGCAGCTGCCCAAGGGGAACACAAAAAGTGGTCTTTGTAGACAGGTGGCCTTGGTAGACGATTTCCTTTAGTTCATGTTTCAATGAGAAACCATTTTCCAGGGACACAAAAAATGTGGTCCTTGTAGACAGGTGGTCTTTGTAGACAGGTGATCACTAAAGCAGGTTCGACTGTAGTCACTTCACTATCTCTCTTCTATCTCTCTCTTAGGCTCCTGTGGATGGCTTTACTGGAGTGTCTGTCCTCCCGGGGGCTACTGCCCTGCTGGTACGGCCTTCCCAGCCAACTGCCCTCTAGGGACCTACAGTAACTCATCAGGTTCAAAGTCACCGGATGATTGCATCGCTTGTGACCCCGGGTAAGTCTCAATTCCAATTCTATCTGTAAAGACCCATAGTTGTGGGTTCTAATGGGGAATTTGACACCATTTGGGTGTTTACACTATAACGGGTGTAGTAAATCACCCAAAGTGGACTTCACTTTTATGATGGACAGATCTTATGTAATGAATACACCCTCTACCAATAGCCCCTTTAGGAAATCTCATCATCACAAAATTTCCCTCATCTATGAGATTTGAAAGCAAGCTGGAGAACAATGTAGTCTTTCTGGTCTGATGGGTCATGGGGTTTTGCTGCCTGGAACCAATACACTCATTAAATGGTAATTCAACCAACATACATGTACAGCGTAGGTATCAGCGAATCATGAGGCAATGCACTTGAAAACAGACAAGTATATGTGGCGCTAAGGGGGAGTTCTCCCCTTCCCCGCTAAAAAATAGGTGATATAAAAATTTGTGTTATGAGACATTATGCCAAATCCCACTTGTCCATCTGTTCAGAGACGTGCTACCTAATTGTCGATAAGTTTAAATATGTCTGTGGAGCCAGTGCAACAACTTACAGCCTTGTTTATTGCCTGTTTCCAGATACTACTGTGCTGGTGACAATAACCCCGAGCCCACAGGCCCCTGCAACCCCGGGTACTACTGCACTGGAGGCTCCGGTACCAGCATCCAACACGAGGTCCCAGAGGGCCACTACAGCGGCAGTGCTGCGTACAAGGCTGAACCGTGCGAACGCGGCACCTACACGACCGCCAGGAAGTCCTCGTCCTGCTTAGACTGCCCTCAGGGGGCGTACTGTAATGAGTCGGGGACTACGACGCCACAGCCGTGTCTTAGCGGTCATTACTGTCCTCCACGGACTATTGTACCCATTCCATGTCCAGAGGTAAGTGTCAAACTTAAAGATAAAGTTGATTTCCGGTCATGCGATTGCATTGTGAAAGAAACGATGTAATCTATCAGACAATGTTGATCATGTAGCATATAAGTATTGGTGTTTACTGCAAGGTTCTGGAGTCATCAAAATGATTAAAAAAACATGGCCCAGTCTTGGTAAAGTAACAAGCACTGTACACAGAAAGATTTACATAGGACGACACAATATGTGGCATAAAAATCGGACCTCATTCTCAAACTGTTACTTGTCATATTTAGAATATGAAGGCATTTGAAGAGCCATGGTTATCAAGGAAGATTTTTTCTCTGATGTTCTTCCGCACTTGCATAATAACAATGATAACGCTCACAAATTATTTTTCACCTCTCCCCAGAACTCAACCTTCTCTTTAGGTAGTGCAGTCATTTTCTTCTTCTCTCCATTTCATTGATTAAAAGACAAACAATTAATGGAGTCAAGATAAAATGAGAGAAAAAAAATATGAACAGAATAAAATGATAAACGAATAAATGGGAAATGCAGCATAAAGTTTGGCTGGACTTATAGTTAATGAAGCTATTATTTTGATTGTATGATATTGGTGGAGAACCCTAAACGTGCATAGAAAATTAGTTTTTTTATAATCTCATTGGCCCTGTTTAAACTAATTTTATGTCATTTCCATTACCAGGGTACATATCGTGTAGAGGCCAACGCGCAGGATGTGGGAGACTGCCCTTCGTGTCCACCAGGGAAGTATTGTGGTGAGACTGGCCTGTTAACCCCGAGTGGGGACTGTGCTGCTGGACACTACTGCATCGGAGGGGCTGACACCTCGCATCCGTATATAACAGAATGTGTAAGTCGAGCTTGGTCTTATATTCCAATCCAATCCAATCCAGGTATTTATACAGTGCCAATATCTAGTTGCCTTTTCAAAGGCGCTGATGAGACTGAAAAACTACCCCAAAATGTTTGTTCATTATTCTAACTGGGAGAGTAAAAAAGCAGTGACTGTTAGCAATCTGAAATACCGGTAGGTATGTCTTTAGTTGATTTCTGAAAGTTGCTAACTGGTGACAACAGCGAACGATTTGGGGAAAGATTTGGTAAAGATGTGGGCTCTCATGGGAAAATCAACACCATTCGGGTTCTTACCTAATAACAAGTGTTGTCAATTACCAGGATTAGCCTTCAGTTTTATGACTAACAGGGTCTTATGTAATGCTCTGGATTTTCCGCCAATCTCTCCATATGGAAAAGTAATCATTTTACATTTCCCTGAAGACTCTCCCAAGAGACTGGGGGATACATTTTTTTTATAGGAATGCAGGTTTGCTATGTGCGAGACTTATACACCCATTGATGGTACTGGTATTTCCAGTCTGGTGTCAGTGAATTATTCTTATTATTTGTCATGGTTTGATTGGTTGTTTACTCTCTTATCTACCCCCCTCCCCCCAAAAAATTCCTAATGGAATCATCATGACCCCCCGCCCCCTTATGTTAAGCATTTTTTGCTTATCTACTTCTATTAATTAACTCTGAATCTGATTTCTGAATTCTCTTTGAACACCTACTAGGCCAATTCCACTATTCTCGGGGGAGGGGAATGTCCGGCTGGTTACTACTATCCAGAGGGAACCGAGACACCCATCTCCTACCCGTGCGAGAATGGAACCTTCCTGAACGTGACCGGAGGACAGGAGATGGACGACTGCTTGGACTGTCCAGGAGGGGAGGTCTGTGGAGGATACGCTCTTACCGAACCCAAAGAGCTCTGTGCACCAGGTAAGGTTAAAGGTCAAGTGATGAGGTCAAAGGGCAAAGGTCAAAGATGCTAATGCAGGCAAAACCTGTCCATGAAGGCCATCCAAGGGAAACAGAACAATTGTAGATTGATAGAATCTGGTGCCATCAATTTTCTATTCTAGTACCTTGATCATTATTTATTTATCTGGATATGTCTGTACGATTTATGAATCGATTTTGAATGTCAAGAATAAAGACCCTCTTTTGCGCAAACATATCAGACAATGACATAAATATTTTTGCCTTAGATATCACCTATAGCGCTGAAATGGTTGACAAGATCTTGTTTTATACCTGTTAATATATATATATATAGATACTTAGTGTTAAGCAGTGCAATATTACATTTGGCTCAGTTGCATTGAGAATTTAAGATAGATTGTCCAATTGTCCAATAGATTGTCTATTCCAAGTCTGATATCATTACATTTTCGTCTCTCATTATATATTTTGTTCAGGGTACTTCTGTATCGGCAAGGCCAAGACCAAGTAACCAACGGACGGCGACACTGGGAACATCTGCCCCAAGAGTTCCCCTGCGGCCATGAGATGCCCGGACGGGGAGTTCAACAATATAACTGGAAGAGCGGACTGTTTCACTTGCCCACAGGGTAGGTCACCTTGAGGATTGGGGGGGGGGGCACAAAACATTTTTTCGCACTTGTAAATTGGCGACTGGTCGAAATGCTTCCCAAAGGCTCAACTTCAACCAGTCCACTTTTCATCCCTGAGTAACAAAAAACACAAAAAACATGAAATTTACAAGGGTGTGAATAATTTAGTTGTTAACTGGATATACATGTATGTACAGGTTTACATAAAGGAATATACAAATAATACACAGCAGTGAGGGCATTAGTAAGAATTACTGACACAAGGTACCTTTGGAATAGTCTAACACGCACAAGGCTATAGCCGAGGGTGTTTGGACTGTTTCAAAGGTACCGAGTGTGGGTTATTTGACTAATGCCCGAACAAAATGATGTATACTGTTTGTTTTATAAGATTATATTTTATTTGATTTTACTAATGACCGGTCATTATCAAAATTATGTGTAAGGCAAAATAAATGCCTGGTCACGTGTACGCTCTCAACCAATCATTTAACCAGGATCATCTTATAAACACGGATATTAAGACCCCCCCCCCCCCCCCTTTCCATTATGTTTGACTACTTGTATGAATTAACATTTTCAATTTGTCTATAGGATTCTACTGTGCAGACGGTGAGAGGCTTCTGGAATGTCCACGAGGTCATTACTGTCCCGAGGGTACTGGTAGTAACGGGTCCATCCCCTGCCCCCATGGGACCTACAATCCGGACCTGGGACTGGCCTCAGAGGACCAGTGCCAGCCCTGTGCTCCAGGCTACTACTGCACCCAGCTTGGGGCCTACTCATTTGGAATAGCGAACGCGTCGGCAGGGCCCTGTGATCCTGGCTACTATTGCCAATCAGGTATGTTGTTTTTGTTATTGTTTATTCATATATCATTTTGTATGATTTTTTTACTCATTTTACTGTACATGGTGGCTGTACAGCAACCGAATTCCTTTTTTACCGTCAATATTTTACTATTTAATAATAATTATGCATAAGTAGTATTTCTTTTACATCGTTACGTCTGACCCTCGTAGCTCGCAAACCCGAGTAAATGGCCATGAAGTTGGGTATTGAAATACCCCCTTCTTTGCTTGCTGCAGAGGAGGCCTAACCCAACTGATCAACTTGTTTTCCAAACATAGTTCGCGCTACTTTCCGTCTCTCTCTCTCTCTCTTTCCGACTCTGTTTCTTTCAGGCTGCATGCCTCCTTCAGTCTCTCTCTCCTCTCCTTTCTATCTATCTCTCCCTTCCCTAGTTCTCTGTCAATCCCTCTCTCCTCATGTTTATTTATGTCTGTCTCTCGATCCATTCCCCGGGTGTCCATCTCTCTCTCTCTCTCTCTCTCCCCTCTCTCCGAAATTTTAATTCTCTCTTCTCTCTTCTCTCTCTCTCTCTCTCTCTCTGGTTGGCGGCCGCTTTTCTTCTTCTTCTTCTTCTTCTTCGATCTTCTGTTTCTTCTTCTTCTTCTTCTTCTTCTCAGTCTATAGTGGCCTATCGTCTTTTTCTCCGAGTCGAAGCGACAGTCCTCGGGTTTTTCCTGGTTGAAAAACCCCATTCATAAATTATGAGTCCTCTAACTCGGGTTTTGAAACACCCCCTTCACCCGCGCATTGATAATAACAAGAAAGTTCTCTTTACACTGCACTATTTAACAATTTTCTGTCTTGTGTCAGAAGCTTGTTATATCTTAATTGATATTAACATGTACTTTTATTATCAGTGAATACTCATGCAACGGAATTCAGCTTCTTAATGAGGACTAATTTCTGCGCGGATTTTTATTAGGGGGACACTTTGTCCGCACATGTGGACAACTCAGTGCAGTCACGTTAGGGTTACTACCATTGACCTAGAGGTCAGTGGTTACTATGGGGGTTACTATGGCGATCTGTCGATCTCTCGATGCTTCCGACATCGTCGGTATCATAAAGAAGTTCGCTACCTGGCGATTCACTTCCATCATAAAAATCATCGGCCAAAAGGCCTTCCCCCGGGGTCAATCTTCCTACCGAGAGGGGCTCCGTGTTTTTATCAACCGGAGAGGAGAATGTCTGTGGGGCCAGAGCCGGCTGTGCCGGGGCAGGGATTCTCTCCATTAACACAGAAAGCATGTTTTCCAGCTTATCAATGCGTGAATCCACAGACTTCGATTTTGAGTCCGACCTCGGCTTAGCCTTGCTCGTGTTGTCAAACTCACGGTTCGGCTTAGCCTTACCAACACATTTATTGTCAGAGGATTTGACTTTCGTCTTAAACGATTTAGTATTTTCTTGCACGCTTGGCTTTGCCTTGCTACTAATTTTGCATTTGGGAGTACCCGCAGCAATGCCCGAGCTCGGCTTTGCCTTACTCGTCAGGGGAGAAACACCGGGTACGGTAGGCATTATGGGCCCGGTTGCCTGCGGGTTAGTACCCGTCCCCGTGATTGCAGGTTCCGATGGTGACTTGCTCGTGCCCGGCAAGCACCGAGCAGAAGATGGGATTTCAAAATTGTTTTTAGAGTCCCAAGATTTGTCCATTTTAGAACAAAACCTGTTTCAAAAGTGTCAGAAACTTTTCTACGAGCGAATTTCGGCAAAAAACTCTGCCGGAAACGAAGGATTGCAAAAATATAACAGATTTTTGCAGCTCAAAGATTTCGTATATCATACGATGTAAGCGCGACGAACGTATTGATTGTAGCGTTGTGGGCGGGCTCTCATGTATTCTCGTTACCGAGAAATATGAAATAAAATATCTTGCCGAAAGACATTATTTCAAAATGCTTCATTTGTTTGTGCAAGTGTATCTTTAAATTTTGCCCTGCATTTGTGAGGTTCCATATATTAAATATATCGGCTTGTAACTTCTTTGAAGTAATATTGCAACTTTAAAACTGAAATCACACTCTAATAAAGGTAAAAAATAACCTGTGGGTAGACTCCTCATACTCTCACTATTGAAATTGTTATGCCTTTAAAGCCTTTTAATCCTTAACCATTTTATTGTGTCATTTTATAATACAGGGGAGGGGGATGTTTGTCTTCTGATGGTATTTAAATAGTTTGTCTGTTTGTTTCCTACATTTTACTGATTAGTCCTCCTTAGGTACTCAATACTTCTGTTCTTGTCTTTGTTCATGTAGGTCTAGCTGATGTAGCCGGGAAGTGCATGGAAGGCTTCTATTGCATCAGCACAGCAGTGAGACCTGATCCTACGGACGGTATCACGGGTGATATATGCCCTCGAGGAAGATACTGCGGTAAGTTTAACACAATGAATAGTGAGCCCAAGATAACTTTGGACCAGCAGTTGAATCTGTATTATCCCCTGTGTGTTTATTTCCATTCATGTTCTGCTCCTTGAACACAAATGTGCTTCGCTTGTTTTTGTACATAGTAGTTTCTTGCTTCGTTCATTATTTTGTTTACTCTCATAAATCTTTGTAGGAAATGGAACTGGAGCCAACCCTTCTATGTGCCCATTTGGGACTTATTCCAACAGCACTGGTCTAATGATAGAGGCCCAATGCACAGACTGTACAGCAGGGTCCTACTGTGAAGATCCTGGACTAACACAACCAACTGGACTGTGATCCAGGTAGGACCTGGTCTAGCGATTGTACATTGTTATGAAATTAGCCAATGAAAATGAAAATTACAAATAGTGATGGTGGTGGTGGTGGGGATGGTGTTGGTGGTGGTGCTGATGGTGGTGGTGATGATAATGGTAATGATGAAGAAGCTTATTGCGGTGGTGGTAATGATGACAGTGATGATGATGATGATGATGAAAAGACAACCTACAGTACCTCTGTAGGAAACAGAAGAAGATTCCAGCTTGGACAGTTCACCTTTCTAGACACATTCTACAGCACCTGCATCTTTTGGGGAGAAAATACAAATGACTCTTTAAAACCTGTATAGATAAGTGGCCATCAGGACAGGTTTGACTGCATTGTTCTTTTCTTTCTACAGGTTATTACTGCCCAACCGGTCAGTCCTCTAGCAGCCCCTTCCCCTGCGGTGAAGGGTACTACTGCGAGGAAGGCAGTGCCTCTGAGACGGCTTGTGTATCAGGGACCTACCAGGACGATACTGGACAGCCATCATGCAAACTCTGCAACGGAGGTATGACAATGACATCGTCTAGATGTTATGGTACTGTCATGCTACTGCCATAGCTCGCCAGGAGGAGTGATTCCTATTTTGGGGCTCACAAAGTAGTGTTATGAGCCCTAAGACATCTGGGAAGTGTTTCACAAAGGCTAAGATCGACTTTAAGTCGGACTTAACTATTGCAGGCAGTTCATGCCACTGTTTTCTCTCACCTTTCAATGGCATTGGCCTCTCAAAAGATGTTCAAATCATGGTCACATATATACAGAATTTACATTTGTTGATAGTTCATTATTGAAGAAAAAAATATTATCTAAAGATTATATTTGAGAGACCAAAGGTGAGAACAACCAGTGGCACGAATGGCCTGCCATAGTTAAGTCCAACTTAATGTTGATCTTAGTCTTTGTGAAACACTCCCCTGTATACAAATGTGTAAAATGCACTGTATTCCCAACTGTGAATTCTGAGATTCCTAATTTTTGCTGTAGAAGGTTGACTGGTATGCACTGCTGCTTGTGATCCAAGATGTACTCCAGTGATATTTGCTCCAGTTTCTTGGTTTTTTAAAGGTTTGATATAGGTTTAGGGTTAGTTATAGAATGGGGTCTGAGCTTGAAGTTGGAGGATGTCGCTTAGCCATTGGAGTTGAGGTATATCTAAATACACCACTGATGCTATGTTCTGTATTTTTGAATCCAGGAATAGTTTTCATTCATGTGATGTTAATGTTTGGTCTGTGAAGCACTGTAATAGTTTTCATTCATGTGATGTTAATGTTTGGTCTGTGAAGCACTGTAATAGTTTTCATTCATGTGATGTTAATGTTTGGTCTGTGAAGCACTGTAATAGTTTTCATTCATGTGATGTTAATGTTTGGTCTGTGAAGCACTGTAATAGTTTTCATTCATGTGATGTTAATGTTTGGTCTGTGAAGCACTGTAATAGTTTTCATTCATGTGATGTTAATGTTTGGTCTGTGAAGCACTGTAATAGTTTTCATTCATGTGATGTTAATGTTTGCTCTGTGAAGCACTGTAATACTGAAAGCTTTACAAGAATATGATGGTATATCTAATTGCTATGACTATTATTGAGACACATGTCATAAATTAGTGCAGTGTTCAGAAACTCCAAAATATGCACATTTGAAAAAGCGTCTGCACATAAATGCAACACCAGATTTGTAGTTATGTAAGTTATGTAGTATTGACTTAATTGTAAAAACGATTGGGATAGAACATCAAACAAGTTTTTGAGATAAAAAATTTTCCTTAACACAAGGGAATATCAAAGTCAGTCACATGAAGCGTAATGATGAATGAAGATCAACAAATTTGTATCTTCTGTTCTTGTACTGAAAAAAAATGGAAAACTTAGCAATTGTTTTGAACCACTGCCCAAGAAACGTTTCTTTGACAAAAGGATTACCTTTATAAGCATTATCTTAGTAAGACAATCATCATAATTATCATTTCTCATCATTTCCTAGGATACTACTGTGACGTGGCCGACGCCCCCATCTCGGTCTACACCATGTACCCTTGCTCCGTGGGGCACTACTGCATGAATGGAACCGAGTTCAGCACCCAGTACCCCTGCCCAGCCGGAACGTACAACCCCTCAGAAAGACTGGAGAGGGAGGGTCAGTGCTTAGACTGTCCTCCTGGAAGTTTCTGCGACACACCGGGCCAGGATAGTTTGACGAGCGACTGTGCTGCAGGCTATTGGTGCATCGGGGCGTCGTCGAGTGCCACGCCTGACGACGATGTGACTGGGGTGGAGTGTCCTGCAGGGAAATACTGCATAGAAGGTGAGTGATTTTATTACAGAGACCTGCAGCATGAGCCTGTGTAACTTTTCGTGGTTTAAATACAGTCATGAACAAACTTTCTAGAGTAAATTAGGAAATCGCCTTTATTAATGTAACCGAGCAGTAAAGAATCTTGGTCCCAATTTTTTTGTTTCAGGGAGGAAGCACTGTACATTTATGTAGCACATGCAGATTTCTTTCCTATTTGAATGTGGTTCATTCATATTTGCCACCATTTGCCCCTTCTGCATTGACCAGATTTGTAATAATGTAATATTTTTTATTAAGCTGTGAATGTATTCAGAGATGCCAACCCTCCCGATTTTATCGGGAGGCTCCCGATAATTCACCCCAACTCCCGACCTTACGATCACCATCCTTATCCTCCCGATTTATTAAAAAAAAAAAATAAAAAAAAAATGAAATATCATCTGCTAACTTAAGCATGTAATAATTCCACTATGTTAAAAGACAAATTAAGAGTAGCGAAAGATTGTTTCAGCATATGGATCGCCGTAACCAATGCGTGGATATTGCCACAGAATCCAAATGGCGGAAAATCAGCAAAATAAGACCAGGAAATGGTCTCGGAAGTATAAGACCGAATACAGTATCAAGTACCTGTGTAATCGGAAGTCTGAAAGTAATTCATCATGCATTTTGTACAATTTTTATGTTATTTAAAAAAAAAGGGGGAATTATTTAACTAAATACACATGTAAAATGCTCCAAAATAAGGCTCAGATTGCACCAGAGAGCATCTAGAACCCCAGAGCTTCCAGGGCCCTAAGGCGGGCCCTGGACCCCGGCCGCATGTGTCGGGCGCTACGCGCTCGAGATGTGCGCTACGCGCACATTAATTGGTGTCGATTACAAATCCTCCCTATTTCTGATTTCCAAAAGTTGGCATCTCTGTGTATTATGTAATGTGTTAAAAGTGTATACAGAAGGGTACAAAAATGTTTCAGTACAAACCAATGCTATTGTGCACAATTCATATGTAGAGCAGGATTTTTAGTCTGATAATGATAATACACTTAGAAATATTTATAGCACATGTTTCCACCACGCAATGTGCACAAGGTGCTCTACTATTCCCTCAGCTCTGCTCACAGCATTCAAGGAATTCTCTCCTACCGGTACCCGTTTAACACCTGGGTGGAGAGTAGCAAATGTACATGTAGATTGATGTCTACTCCAATGCCATTCAGCGACTTTAAGTGACTGAGAATGATGATGTAATCCTTTTCCACCAGGCACTCCTGCCCCAGAGAACTGTCCAGTTGGGACCTGGTCTGATAGCCTTGGTCTAGAGAAGGCTAGCGACTAGCTGCTACCCATGTTCAGGCGGCTTCTACTGCAACGGCACCGGACTGACCTCTCCGTCAGGACCATGTGATCCAGGGTAAGACCTATGACCTATGACCTTTAACCTTTGAATGTGCAGTACGAGGTTTATTTATTTTTTTGTTTTAAAGTAGGTTTATTAACTTATCAATGTTTCCAACAGTTTGCTCTATCATATCTCATTGAATTATTAATTCAGTATGAACCAAAAAGAATGCGTTCCAGTAAAATTTTCTTTATGTCCCACAAACTATGAACAAATCTAAAGGGAAAGGTCATTATCATACGTAGCCACTGTTTTATGGAATAAATTACTGGAATATTTTACCGATATAAAAATATATGAAAAGTTACGAATTTATTTGAAAACATACTTATTTAGCGATTTTTAAAATACCACAAATATGATCCCAATGTATAATTTCCGCTTCTTCTGTATTCTGTTCTGTAAAGCACATAAAAACGTGAAATTATGGCTATGTGTTATGCGCTTTACAAAAGCGTTTAATTATTATTATTAGTAGTAGTAGTAGTATTCACTAGGTTGAATTGCTGGCTGAAGCATGTTACATTTACATTAATGTGAAATTGAAATCATTATTCAGCTATTACTGCTCCACCAATGCATCCACGGCCACACCCGAGGATGGCGGCATCACCGGTAACCCTTGCATGGACGATCACTACTGCCCCGGTCAGACAACCTCACCGTTGCCATGTGAGGCAGGGACCTACACGACCGAGACGCATCGCAGCGAGTGTAATACCTGCCTGGCCGGATTCTTCTGTACAACAGGATACAAACCAGAGGAGTGTCCACATGGTGAGTCATGCAGACTTGAAGAAAAGAGAAAAGGTTTCTAAAAGCCCCCCCCCCCCCCTCCCTTTTTTTATAAGGCACCGTAGCCACGGATTACCTTGTGTTATTATTTACAACGCGGTTGGCAGCTTGAACCATCTACATTTGATGTTGAATCTGCTCCGGAGTTACCAATCACCAAAATTCCTTTTACTTCTTTTGGATTGAATTAGCATTTCTCAAACTAAGAAACTGTATGTCAACATTTCTAATGGTTTTCCTGTTCAAACCGGTTCATAGGCTTCTACTGTCCGGCTGGAACCGGTTACGACTGGCAGCCCTGCCTGACGGGATCCTTCTCCAACATGGCTGGCCTGGCCAATGAGACCAAGTGCACCCTCTGCTCACCAGGGAAGTTCTGCTCTGAGCTCAATGCGACAATGGTAACAGCTGACTGCGAGGCAGGGTACTTCTGCACTGAGGGGTCGGACACCGCTACACCTGAGGTCACTTTTAAAGGTAACCAATGTCCTTGGTTTTGTTGGTCAAACAACCCATCTGCTACTTACTGAACAACTCAGAGTTCGTTGGAACCAGCTTTTTCTTTAATAAACTTATCCAGAATTCAAGATATGTTTTAAATGATTTCCAGGGCCCCGTTGCATAAAACTTACCATTGATGGTAACTTTGCCATCAATGGCAACTACCATGGTAACAGGGCTCAACAGCCAATCAAAATCAAGGTTTCCATGGTAGTAACCATTAATGGTAAGGCTTTGTGCAACGGGCCCAGAAGAACGACATGATAAATTGCCATCAGAGCATTACAATCTTCGATCTCATTAGCACTTCAGAATTAGAGCTGATACAGGGTGTACATGACAAATTAGTTTCTCTTTATATTTGCCATTTACAGTATTGTATAAAGCTTACAATGTTTTTCATTATAATTTTAAAATTTCACAGATGTAACTGCATATTCCCTAGATAAGATGAAATACACAGAGACGAAGATTCACATGCTCACATCGCAAAAATAACATTAAAAAGGAAGCTCTAGGTTTTACCATTCAATTTGTTTATTTAATTTCTTATCCCCAGTCGTAAAAAAATAGGAAAAAAATAGGGGAAAAATAAGGAAAAAATAGTCCCGAAAATATATTTTTTTTCTATTTTTTCCCTATTTTTTTTAAAGGAAAAAATAGGGGAAAAATTAGTTTTGGAAATAGGAAAAAAATAGGTTTGAAACAATTTTTTCTATTTTTTTCCTATTTTTTTCCTATTTTTCAGACCTAAAAATAGGAAAAAAATAGGGAAAAAATAGTGTAGAAAATGGTGAAGAAAATAGTAAAAAAATAGTGATAACTAGGTGCTAGTGGACAGTGAAAAATAGTGAGGAAATAGGAAAAAAAATAGTGAGGAAATAGGAAAAAAATAGTAAGAAAATAGGGAAAAAATAGTAAGAAAATAGGGGAAAATAGTAAGGAAATAGGAAAAAAATAGTAAGAAAATAGGAAAAAAATAGTAAGAAAATAGGAAAAAAATAGTAAGTAAATAGGGGAAGTAGTAAGAAAATAGGAAAAAAATAGTAAGGAAATAGGAAAAAAATAGTAAGAAAATAGGAAAAAAATAGTAAGAAAATAGGGAAAAATAGTAAGAAAATAGGAAAAAAATAGTAAGGAAATAGGAAAAAAATAGACAATAAGTGAGGAAATCAGAAAAAAATAGTCAGGAAATAGGGGGGGGGGGTCACTCATCCTTTACTTTCATGGATTTCTCAAGCACTACCATCTCACACATCCAGTCAACGACTCTGTACATTCAATTAAATCATACAGTGCAAACTTGATATAAAGAGATCAGTTATACCTGAAATGACAAGGTAATTTAACAGCTTTTGGGGGTTAAGATTTCTTGATTGCACATGACCTCATTGTCAAAAGTTTCCACTGTAGAATAGTCACCCTACTCCTACAGCTCTTTTCTCTGCATCGATGCACCTACTCAGTTTGCCAAATTCACTTCATCCTTTCAGTCCAATCCATTCAGTAGAACATTTAAAATAGTAAATGGGTATATGGAAAATGTTATACAGTCCACTCCTATTATAACGAACATGGCTACACCAAGATTTTATTATCAGGCAATTCTCATCAGTCCCAATTTTAAACAAACCAATGTGTTCAGTAACTTGAGTATAACATGATTTCATTTTAACAAGGAAATGGGCTTGGTCCCGAGCACCTCGTTATAATGGCAGTGGACTGTAACAAACAAAAAGAATAAAAGGGAACGTGTCAAATAAAATACATGTACTTTATTTTCGAGAGGTAAACACAATGACATGAGTTTAGTATAGTATGTGTGTTCATGTAAGCAAATAAATAAAAGAACTTAACTGATATTTACAATCTTTGGTTAAGTACTGTAGTGTACATGTTGTAGTAATAGAGTTGTTCATGGTTTGCTATGATTATACTCTAAAAAAAAAAAACAAGACAAATGCGACTGCGTCTCCTACATGCCTCCGCCTTAAAAAAATATCAGCCACCTAGAATGTAGCTTTCTATTTTTGTTCAAATAAAGTATTCAGGTGAGTTTCAGGACTATTACTGAGCCGATGTGGATATGCCAGGCAATCACAAGCTCTCTCCCTCACTAGTAACCAAATAAAGCAGTATTCTTGACATGAGAGTGTTGTTTTCTGTCTCTTTTATTACAATTTAATTGCAAAGTGCTCTTAATAATGTAATAACATTTTCAAACCTCAAGAAAATCATGACAAGTAAAAAAAGAATTTCTCGTTATTTACAAAGATAACAAAATAAAATAAATCATAAAACAGATTTTTCAACAATGCATGCATGCTCTATTGTACAGTTGACATGTTACATAATTTTCTCAATCTCAATTGAACTGTCAAAATCTTAATACAATCATCATAATCTAGAAACACTTACTACAAAATCAATGACATGTCATGTCATTGAGATATATATAAACAAGAAAATGACAGACTTACATGCTACTATTTTCAAATAGTTTTACAAAGTATACCATCATTACCATGTATCATAAGTAATGGTCTTATGGTCCTTTATCTTCACAATATGCAGGCACTCATTGTGTACACATACATGTTGTACTTGCCTATGAATCTCAATGATTAGACATAAGAATTACATAATAAAATGGAAACAAATACTAATGTAAAGGATACAGATGTTGGTCATGCTGTTCACAGGCATCGAATGGTGATTGTACGTTACATGTACATTGTAGCTTGATTAGTTTCAATTGATCTGTAAAGATATAAATGAAATGTGAGTTAGGGGTTAGAATAATCATGCACTGGTACATTTATGAAATGTATGCAATTAATACTTAGTACAAGTATTTATGTATTTCATAATGAAAAATTCAAAGGCACAGAACATGTGTGTACAAAAGTATGATAGCAAAAAAGATGCCAGGCTGACGACGAACGGATGGTGAAACAACGGAGTCATCAAAGAGCTGTCAAGGTGCATGAAATGTAAACCACTCAGGTAGGCAATTAATTAGAGTTATTTTATTCTTAGATATATTGGGTGAACATACATAAAATAAAACATAAAACACAGAAAAGAAAATAGTAAAGGAACAATTTGTTGAAGAAAAAAATAAAAAGGAAAGAGAAAAATAATGTAGATCTAGGTAGAACTTGTGCCACCTGCAAATTATTGTTCTAGCATAATGATGAGGTAAACTACTCTAATATTTTGATGTCAGATCTTAACTAACAAACATGAAATAAATAAACCCAAAAAAATTATCAACAATAGATTTAGATTTCTACTTAGTAAGGACATACCTCGCAGACACACTCTCGGACTTGGAAGACTTGCTCTTCTTCTTGCATGGTGCTTTAGCAGGTTGTGTTTTCTGATTCCTAGAAAAATAATTTGAGATACAATTTAACCTAAAACCACATCAAAACATTATATCATGCAAGGCAAAATAATTGACAGACGTAGTAATGGTACAAAATCTGAAATTTTTTATGTGGATTTATTGTAATCACGTTTGTTTACATTCACTCATTCACTAACAGACACTACACTGCACTTGGAGATTCACTACACTTCACTAAGAAGTTGTGTAGTCTACAACCTCAACACTAGTACATGGGAATATTGATACGTAAAATAACATTCTATAGGCCTATTATGTCTATGAAGTAGCATTATATTCAACAACAGACACAATAAAAATATATATATCATAATATAATTAAGTTTCAGAAATAAACGTACCTTTTCAGCTGTTTTCTGGGGCCAGTTCCGCTCGTCGATGGTCCGTAATTCGACAACAAACTCGTTTCTCTACGAGTGGGACTAGTAATATTTTGAACATTTGTCGGGCTCATTTTCTTGGGAAGAATCACTAAAATGGGATAAGGAGGCATCGGAGTATGAGGAGTCACTATCTCTTGATGAAATTTCATCGCTAGAATAATTGCTGGAAGACATTTTGGTGTGATTTGGAGACGTTTGATGAACGAAAATCAGCAAAAGTCCGATGCGCACAGCAGTGCCAGTGGGGAAAAAAAATAACGGGTAATTTTCAAATTACGTACTTGCGTACTGTCCTCTACGTTGAAACTTTGCGCACACATAGAACGGGAATATCTCGATCGAATGCTTTTTTTCCTATTAATAAAGGAGATTTTTTTTGGTTGAAATTTCTATGTGTACATTTTCTTTTTACACATGGTTTATGTATGGTTATCTTTGAGTGCACTAGTCACTACTATAGTTTGTAAATAAAATCAAGAATATTAATAAAGGAACAAAATTGAAATTTCGTACATTTTCTTTTTACACATTGTTTATTTATGGTCATCTTTGAGCTCACTATTCAATATGTGACCCCACAGCTAAAAACAACCAATAAGTCGCAAAATGAACAACAGAGATAATGGCAGGAGAAGCGGGCTTTTTGAATAGGATGCCAGTCATAAACAATGAAAATATGCAAGTTTAGAAAATAGACAAAAAATAGTTTACAAATTTGTATCATGTCATAAAAAATTTAAGTGCAAAAAATAGGAAGAAAATAGTACTCGCAAATAGGTAAAAAGAAGTCTGAAAAAGATAAAGGTGAAAAAATAGGGAAAAATTGTCTGAAAAAGATTAAGGTGAAAAAATAGGGAAAAAATAGTCTGAAAAAGATTAAGATGAAAAAATAGGGAAAAAATAGTCCTATTTTTTTGGAGAAAATAGGCAAAAAATAGTCTGAAAAAGATGAAGGTGAAAAAATAGGGAAAAAATAGTTTGGTGCTCGAGAATAGGAAAAAATAGAACTATTTTTTTTCTATTTTCTTTTAAAAAAATAGGAATAAAATAGTCCACAAAAGTTGAAGGTAAAAAAAATGGGGGAAAAATAGTTTGTGCTTGAAAATAGGAAAAAAATAGGACTATTTTTTTCCTGTTTTCTTATAGGAAATAGGAAAAAAATAGTCTGAAAAAAAATATAGGTGAAAAAAATAGGGAAAAAATAGTTTGTGCTTGAAAATAGGAAAAAAATAGCCCTATTTTTTTCCTATTTTCTTGAAGGAAATAGGGAAAAAATAGTCTGCATTTCCAGAAAATAGGGAAAAAATAGGAAAAAAATAGGGAAAAAATATATTTTCGCAACACACAAAACTACTAGGGATATCACTCTAATGTATTCTGTGTTTACTGCTTAGGATGTTCTCTTGAAATGTTGTTATACCTCACTTATAATTGTTTTCACTGTTCCTTGTGTATCTTGTAGGAGTGGCTGGAGTGTGTCCCGAGGGTTCCTACTGTCCAGAAGGCTCGGACACTCCCACACCGTGCCCAAGAGGAACGTTTGGAAATGTCACCAAACTGACCAACTCAGTGAGTAACTGTCTTCATACATTTACAGTAGGCTCTTAAGAATAGTGGATACTAATTTTTACCTTAATGAAGTGAATGAGAATTGGATTATATCAGTTTTGTTTTGTTCAGTTAATGTTTTGAGTTTATACTCATGATTGTCAATTTATTTTGTTGTGCATGGAAGACCATCACTTTTGATGAAAATGTTTTCCCCTGCATGAATCCCAGAAATAAATGTAATGTACAAACCTCTTCTGTTTAACAGAGCGAATGCACACAGTGTCTATACAGCCAGTACTGCGAAGTCGTAGGCTTGACCGCTCCGACCGGTGACTGCTACCCTGGGTTCTACTGCTTACGAGGTGCCAAAGATCCCAACAATCCGACAGTCGATTCGACCGGCGGTCCTTGCCCCGTTGGTCACTACTGTACAAACGGAACATCGTATCCTCTGGACTGCGAGGCTGGAACGTACAACAACCAGACCGGTCAGTCAGAGTGTGACCCATGTCCAGCAGGGTAAGATGACCATTAGAATACAGCAAATTTATTACGTTTACTGGGTCATGTAAGAAGCTTATTAATCCAATTCATTCCAAGAAACATCAAAACATGTATTAGGCTTCTTGTATATTGTTAGTATTATTGCTGTACTATTCTATGATACATTATACATGTGAGTGTTTATGAGAATGAAAGGATGATCAAGACAGGAATGCTTACAAATAATGAATGATATCAAACAATAATGATAATAATTATAATTTTTGATAATAATAATGGTAATGATTATAATAATAATTAAACAATAATGATGATAGTAATTATAATGATAATGATAATGGTTATAATTATAATAATACTTATAATAAAGATAATAATAATACAACAATAATGGTGATAATAATAATTATAATGAAAAAATAAAGATAATGATTATAGTTGTAATAATAAACCTGTGAAATAATAATAATAATTTGAATGATAATGATAATAATAATTATAATAATGATAATAATAATGATGATGATGATGATAATGATAATAAAGATGATAATAATGATAAAAAGAATCATGTGTTGCACAATAGTAATTATAATACGAATCATAATAATGATAATAATGAAGATGATAATTGTAATGATAATATTCTTGGTTTATATAGTGCTTGATACATCTATGATATCTCTTGAAAGTCCTGTAAATACATACTGTTTTTTTTTTTATGTCATATGCTCTCCCTATTCTTTTTTTTTCTTTTTTTTCCCATCATTTATTAATTGAATAATACGTACATAAGAAACACAAAATTATATCGATTACAAAGAAAAACGCATGAATTATACTTATATCACAAAAGTGATTATAATGTTGAATATGTTTGTAAAATTACAATTTCTTTTTTGCGTATATAAAACATAAGAAGCTAAATTAAGTAATAGATTTTTAAAAACTACATATTTTGAATTTATATATTCATATATAGGTATTACTGTGAAAGCGGTGATGTTCACTACAGCGACACCCCATGTCCAGCTGGTCACTACTGTCCAGAGGGCACCAAGTCGTCCTACGAGTTCCCTTGCCCCAAGGGCTACTGCAACGACTATGAGGGCAAACATGATCTGGTGGACTGCAAGCCTTGTACACCTGGTGGGTAACCCATTAGATTAAAGGGAACCTAAAACTTCATACTAAGTTACTTCTATTGTAAAGCTTAAAAGACTTGAATGAAATCAGTGAAAATTTGAACAAAATTAGGCAAGGAATGAGGAAGTTAGAGCTTTTTTAAATGACTTGTCACTAGAGGGCAGTATTCAATTTGATGACATCATGTGTGGACAACTCTCCATGCCTTTTGTACATAAAATTTCACAATTTTTTCGTTTTCTTCGTATTTATTTGTGTTCTTGATCCGACTTCATAACATGTGAAGTAGAATATCATTTTGCATTCTATATCTTGCTTTCAGGGGAGTAGATTATCTCAATCACAAGAAAGAAGGAAAAACATGAAATTTGATGTACAAAAGGCATGGAGAGTTGTCCACAGATGATGTCATCAAATTGAATACTGCCCTCTAGTGACTAGTCATTTCAAAAAGCTCTTACTTCCTTATTCCTTTCCCGATTTTGTTGAAATTTTCACTGATATTTTTCAAATATCTTAATCTTTACAATAAAAGTAACTTAGTATGAAGGTTTTGGTTCCCTTTAATGAACATGAACATTAAATTCAATACTTTGTTCTCAAATTGGCAACTCCAGTATTTTCTTTTGACTGTTGTACTCATTTTAGCCTATCCAGTTAAAGGACAGACTTTTTCCTCTAATTGGCAGTGCTAATACTTTTCTTTTAAATACTATATATGCTTGATGTAAACTCCCTCTTTTAGCCCATCCAGAAAGGGGTCTTTTAGGAGTGTTTTTTCCTCACTCAAATAGGCTACCATTACATATTTATTTTGTAGTGCTCCACTATTTTCACTGAAAAGTCCATGCATCAGAAATAAACAAATAAATAGGATTTCTACTAAAATTTATGAACTGCAAGTTATTACCTGACCACAATTTGTTGATTATGTAAGTTTGGTGCCAATTCAAAGACTGTACTGCTTATACTCCCTTCAGTATTCCTTTCTCTGTAGGTCAATACTTTGCCCTTATCAGTCTTAGCACACCTATTGACCTCTGTGCCCCTGGCTGGTTTTGCATAAGATAGGCCTGGTCTGACATGTGTTGCCAATTCAAAGATCATACTGCTCATACTTTGTTTTCTACATTCCTTCCCCGTAGGTCAATACTGTGGCACTACCAGTCTTAGCACCCCTACTGACCCTTGCGCCCCGGGCTGGTACTGTATCCGAGGGGCATAGTCTGACATGTGTTGCCAATTTAAAGATCAAACTATTCATACTCTTTTTTTTTTTTCCTTCAATATTCCTTCATCGTAGGTCAATACTGTGGCACTACCAGTCTTAGCATCCCTACTGACCCTTGCGCCCCGGGCTGGTACTGTATCCGAGGGGCGTGGTCAAGCATGCCAACAGATTACAGCTTCAACAACATCACTACCTCCTGCTTCTGTTCATCCAACGCCACTGGAGGGCAGTGTTCGCCTGGAGAGTTCTGTCCCGAGGGTTCCATTGAACCTACAAGCTGCACACCTGGTGAGTGGGGGAAAAAATTATCCATTCCTGTTTGGATAAATCAAAGGAATACTGAAAACCAGTGGCCAAGATTTGTCAAAAGATCATACTGCTCATATTTCTTTGTCATTCCTTGTAGGTCAATAATGTGCCACCAACGGTCTTAGCGCCCAATAATAAGTTTCTAGCCACAAAATAGTAGAAACTAGACACTGAAGTTTTGCAATTTGCAAATGTTTCTTGACCCGTCATCTATTGATGGGCCATATTCCGTTATCTATAATGTCAACAGTCACACAATACGTATTGACCATACCATGTTCGTCTTTTCTCATCTCCAGGCTACTACTGTGAGGGTTCCAGGCCTGGCCGAGCCAACCGGACCTTGCCAGGCTGGCTACTACTGCCCTGGTGGTCAGAATACTTCTCAGCCGACAGAATATACATGAACCCTGGGTCACTACTGCGAGGTCGGCAGCTCTGACCTTACCTCATGTGCTTCTGGGTCGTACCAAGATGACTTCGGAATGGTAGGTTGATCAAGGATAAGGGTTGTGGAAAGAGCTGAACAATTTTTCCTTTCAAATCTGCTACATCAATATCAGTGACTCAATACATGTACATGTATATATCTGTGAAACAGAGCACCGAACATTAAAGATATTTGCTGAGGAATTTAGTGCTTTGTATCTTTATAGAACTGCAACAATAGTTCTGATTGTTTTTAAAGTGTTAGAGTATCACATGCTGTTAGCTATGTTAATCTCAAAATTTAAGGCTTCTACAGCTCTATCATTGCAGGAATGACATAAATACATGTAGCGATAGATCTATACAATGTACAATATATATTGGTTTGTACATGTACATATACTTGGTATCGTTGTAGAGATATTGGTGACATTGCTGCATTTGTTGGTCTCACAGTTTTAGAGCATCAAGTAACGCCTGGCTGGAAAGCTCCCCAGGGAGTGGAGATTGTGCACACAGTGTGTGTGGGCAAGCACTGAATCCAATGACCAGTGTAATAGTATATCTGTAAAGCGCTCAGAAACATTGTATAAAGCGCTATACAAAAGAGGAATATCAATATTTGACATGCATCATATCCACTCTTTTTCTTTCAGGATACGTGCAAGACCTGTCCTGCAGGCTTCTACTGTGATGCGACGCTCCAGAATGACACCTTCTGCAGCCACAGTGTCCAGAACCCTCAGCCATGTCCCGAAGGCCACTACTGCCCCTCTGGCACCAAATACGCCATGGAGTATGCTTGTCCCAATGGAACCTTCAGTGACCAGACCTGTCTCCAGATTGCGGGCGACTGCACTCCTTGTTCCGGCGGAATGTATTGCGCTCGCGAGGGTTTGACCGCGCCGTTCGGCGAATGCGAGGCAGGGTTTTGCTGCATTCTGGGCGCATCGTTGCCTACGCCGAGGGATGGAGTCACAGGTGATATTTGTCCTGTTGGAACATACTGTCCTGCAGGATCAAACAAGACGTACGACTGTCCACCATCAACGTACAACCCTACAGAAGGTAAGGACAACAAGATTTATTTGGTAACACCATGTGTGAAATTATTTACAGGATTAATTGAACTGCATTTCAAACAACATCTTGCTATTCAGCATCCCATTGGTCACAAGTACATACTTGCAAGGATATTTGTTCATTCTATCATGGAAAGTGATCAGTTCTAAAATGACCAGGGGTTTGATTTACTACTACGTATGTTCTGAAAAGAACTTCTTGTCACCTTGCAAAAAGAGAAAATATGCTCGAAGTGAAAGGGTTAATTGGTCACAATAATCAGTACATTATAGTAAGTCATTAAAACACCCTTCTCTCTTGCAGGACGTGAGTCCATCTCAGAATGTCTTGGCTGTGACCCAGGTGAATACTGTCCTTTGTACGGCTTGAACGCCACAGCAGATGACTGTGATGCAAGATTCTACTGTGCTGGCAACGCTACTTCGGCATCACCTACTGATGGAGATACAGGTATCCAAGTTCTTCCTTAACTCTTTAGATACATGTACATCCTACAATTTGCTTACTTACTTACCTGATTGAGTCACATTGGTTTAGGGGTAGAGCAGTGGTCTTGTAACAGAGAGATCCCGGGTTCAAAATCATTTTATGTGCTAGTACCCTTTGGTAAGACATTAATCCTCATTACCAAGTCCCTCAGAGAGGACTAAAAGCCGTATGTCCTTAGCAGTCCGATCTTAGCAGTCAGGTTAAAGAAACAACCAACTTAAATTTACTTACTCTAGCCAAGTCCTTCTAGTTTCTTGTTATATGATGGACCAGTACTTCCTATCTAACAGAGTTCTGTCGGTCTTCAACTCCACTTTTGTGTCACTCACTTTGTTTTTATTTTTCAAAGTAATAATACGCATTGTGAATAATAACATGCTCATTTCTGTTTCAGGTGATGAATGTCCATTGGGTCACTACTGTCCAGCCGGGTCACCTCAGCCGATCCAATGTGAGCCAGGATTGTATACAGACACAACACAGAACGAAGCTTGTCTTCAATGCACTCCTGGACACTACTGTATTACAGGGTCCAACCCTGAGGTAAGCTTAAAAACAAAGTCCCACAAATTTTTATTTAAGCCCTGCTGCACTACTTGTAGCTACTTGCGCCCTCTATATAGCAAACAATGCCTAATCGGTGACCATTGGTCCCCCATGGTCCTCTTTTTCTTATGTTAATTGAGAGCTGATTTGATGAGATAGCCACCTGTCAGTGACCTAGCAGGGAGGTATAATCCACCCTGGCTAAACTGGTGCAGACAGGGTTTAAAGAAACCATTTTTTAAAAATTTATATGTCATTTAAATAACAAGTTGTAAGTGTTCATCATTATTGATGCACATCAGTAGCTCAATATAGTTACATGACAGTATGTACATGTACATGTACCTCCAGTGAAACCTGCATTCAGTCCACTCGAAGGAGACAAGAAAAGCAGTCTTCTTAGGCAGGTAGGCTCTATGTTTGGGTTCTTTTTATGTAACAATGATTAAAATGTTTTAGTCTTTATAGACAGGTGATCTTTCTATACAGGTAGTTGCTGAAGCAGGTTTGACTTTGTATTTTTTATTCTCTGAATCCATAGAGGTCTTTAAAAGGCTTCATCTAAAAATTCACCGCTTGGGACAATTGTCAAGCAAAGGAAATTGTGGCCTTTCTGTGCAGGTTTTTGCTAGAGCAGGTGTAAACCTTATGACCCTTTTCTCCTTGTAATCCAGGACTGTCCGGCTAGTTTCTATTGTCCTGAGGGAACTGGACATGTATGGGAGTCTTGCCCTCTCGGGTCATTCAGTTCATCCACTGGTCTGGCTAACGAAACCCAATGCACTCAGTGCACCGCTGGACATTATTGTGACATGGTCAACGTTACTACAGTAGCAGGTAGGTGTTTATCTCCTGTTTTAACGCTTCCATGATTTTTGTTTAAAAGGGCTAAGTTGATCACATGTTCTTCAAATTGGTAACAGAAATAATTTTTGTTTTCTTTTTAGACAAGTACGTGTTGAAGGAACTCTTGTACGACAGTAATATAAAAATAATAGTAATAATAATATTGACATTAAATAGTGCTTGATACAAGTGTTCCTAAGGGCTGAGCTATTACCAATTGAAATCTATAGCCGAGCTAACCTGATAAGGTGCTATGACATGTAAGGAGTTTCTTCCTACCAGATACCTTATAACATCACCTAGGTGGAGAGTGGCAAGTGTAGATTAATGTCTTGCCAAAGGACGCAAGTGCTGTGGCAGGGATTTGAGCCATGTACCCTGTGTTCAACAGTCCAAAGACATATCCAACAGACCATAACACCTATGCTCGCCTTCATATGATCACTACCATCACTGACATGGTCATCATTTCAAGTTACTTATACAGTTGTTCAACCATTTACATGTACTATCATTTTGCAAAATATGTATATAGCTTGAGGTATGAACAATTATGATAACTTTTTTTTTATTAATCGTTTTAATTTGTACGTGTATATGATCATTCCTGTTTTTATGCACATTTTATGTAAACATTGCCTTTTTGGTCCTTGGACTACTGCATTGTACATTGTATATGTTGATATTAATAAACCGAAATTGAATTGAATTGTTACTGACACCGTGAATCACATTTATACAATTGTACAGATGACTGCGATGCAGGGTTCTACTGCAGCAGAAGCGGTTCCGACGCCCGGCAGCCCAGTGAGTCATCCCGCGGTTATGCAGGAGTGTGCCCAGAGGGCTACTACTGCATCCAAGGCACCGGGGAACCCGAGCCTTGTCCAGCCTCCACCTTCAACAATGCTACCGGTATCGCAAGTTTGGAAGAATGCCAAGACTGCTTGGAAGGTATGGATGCCATGAAAAATCACTTGATGTGTGCCTATTCATGTTTGTAGCCAACTTACAAAATGTATACTTTTCAATTTAAAACATTACATAAGGCGAGGCGTCAAAAATAAAAATAAAAAAAGCTAGAAAACATGAGCTCAGCCTGGCTGCCGCCGGCGGGAGGACAGTGATATGCCGTCAAACTCCGGCCTCTCGCATGGAAGCCGAGCCTCTTCTTAATGAGGTCGTCTGGCCGCCGCCGGCCTAATTGAAACAGCCACCCGCGATTTATTACTGACATTTTTTTCTTCTTGGAATCTTGACACAACTCATTTTATCTCTCTTTGAAATTCTTCGGTCTTTTCTTATCACTTTTTAAAAGACATTTAGAGTTTGGCCACTTTTTAATGACAAAGAATTAAGACATGAGCTGACCAGACAATTAATATTGATATTTTCTTATCTTTCCTCCTAAATCCAGCACTTGTATTCTCGACAACAACATGATCTAAAATAGGCTATACACCCATTCTACTGACCACATCCTTATTCCGACTGGGGTAGGGACTATTATAGAGTCACAAAATTTTAGCATGTAAACGTGTGTTCAATTTCTTCCCCCTGACATTCCTCACTTGGATAAACATATTTCGATCACGAATGACAGGTGTTAATTTAATGATAAAAATGATGCCTCGACAAGTGACGATTATTTTGAATGCTAGTTTCTAAATTAAATGACAAATCTATAAATACCCTTCGTCCAAAATCCTAAATTAAATACAAAAACAGAAGAATTGAATGATAATTGGCATGGCAAAGCCGATCTGTGCTAACTCAAATGCAAAGTTAATTCATTCGAATGACAAACTCGCTATTCTGGCCAGGAAATCGCGAAGAGCCTTTGTCATTTTGGTCTGATCGCGTTCACCCCCCCTCCATTTCGAACACACACATGCCACGCCGATAGAACAACATGAATTGAAATATACACCCACTCTGCTGAATACAGACTTGGGTGATTCTAGTTTATGCAGCCTTAATCCGTACCTGAACAATAGAATCTGGCAAGCTAGACAATAGTGATCAAACAACAGCCTTTAATACTTTGCCGTGCGTGCCTACGCAGTAAAAAAGATGACGATAGATAACGTGTTTTTGAGGTTTTCCGGGAATGTCAAGTGTACATAGTCTGCAGAAACGTACTCTTATTTTACCCAAACCAAACAAACACCTTACAATTGCTTATTGGATTAATGAAAAAACATATCATATTTGAATGGTTGTCAAATAAAATAACAACTAAAAATTGATCTTTACTAGATACAGGAATTTCAAAGTTTGCACGCGGCTTTCTAAAAATGCAAGACAAAGCCTATTCATGCAGACTAGGCTTCCAGACTTCTCCCCTCTCTGTCATTTGATCTCCATCAATATCATTATTTGATACAGTGTCAGTTATCTTTCTCTCTCTCCCTTCTCTTTCTTTTATATTGATCATCTTCCTTTTTCATCATGTTAAACAGTAAGATAAACTGAATAGTTTTCAGACTGTTATGAATTTTGTCTGAGATTTCCATGGATTTCCACGGCCCTAACGTATATGCTCCCCAGAAAATAAATAACACCCGGTCTTAATTGATTTAAAAGCCTACTTTCTGTTATTTTTTGTTTTTCTAAAAACTAGGATTAAACACAAACACACCCTTAACAGGTTGATTTTTGTTCTCACCTTTTAAAATCACACACTTGTGATGGACAAAGTATATGTTTCTCTTTTAAAATTGAAGTTTCTTTTGTGTTCACTCTCTACTTTTATCCAACAGCGTGGTGAAGTGAAAAGCTTTGACGTTACATTGAATTATGAGAAAAAGCAGACGATTCGGTGTACTCAGTGTTCTCGACTCTTAATCCTTATCTGAATTCAGTCCCCCCCCCCCTCCCGCGCGAATCGCGGAAGCTTAGACGTTTCTTTAAGAAGCTGATTCGTTGAACCGTTCTCGACCCGTTTAATAATAATAATAATTAAAAAATTAAAAATAATTATACAATATTAAAACTACGACATAATTATGCACTATAAAACTACGACATAATTTTACAATATTAAAGCTACGACATAAACAAATGGTGCTTAAGTTTCTTCTAAAATATTTCAACTGATGATGATTGTCTTAATTCTAATGGTAAAGTGTTCCATAGTTTGGGTGCAATGTTAGCAAAAGCCCTGTCCCCCCATTTGTTATTGGTTTTGGGTGTACATAACTGGAGCTGTGAACCTGAACGTAAATTCCGTTGTGGGGTGTACGGTTTCAAAATCTGATACAAGTATATGGGATGAAGAATGGAGAAGTGTTTTGTAAGTAATGAGTAACAGCTTATACATAATTCTTTTTGAGACTGATAGCCAATGAAGAGATTTTAATATATCTGAAATACTGTCTGATCTACTGCGGAGAGTGACCAGCCGAGCTGCCATGTTCTGAACTTGTTGCAGACGGGCTATTTGATTTTGAGGAAGGCCAATATACAATGAATTACACATATCCAAACGACATGTAATAAAAGAATGAACAATCTGCTCAGTGGCTTTCTGATTCAGATATCTTCTGATCCTCCAAATATTGTGAATATGGAATGATGCTGAACTAACAACATTTGAAATCTGAGATTTCATGGTCATTCCAGCATCAAATAAAACTCCAAGATTACGAACCTGATTAACACATTTTATTTCTGAGTTGCCAATCGTGATCTTTTGTGCAGAAAATTTACTCAACTGCCTGGCAGATCCAATCAACATGTACTCATTTTTGTCTTCATTTAACTTCAGAAAGTTATCATTCATCCACTGACCAACCGACCTAAGGCATGACTCAAGAGTTTTTATACCAATATCAACATTACATTGGGATGGTTTTAACCGTAAGTACAATTGAGTGTCATCTGCGTAAAAATGGTATTGTACATTGTGCTCCATTATCACATTACGCAGAGGACACATATACACTGTAAATAAGACTGGCCCCAAAACAGATCCTTTGGGAACAGAATAATCTTGATACACAGGGTTAGAGATTGAGCTACCAATACGGACATACTGAGGGCGATATAATAAATATGATTTAAACCATTTCAAAGCTTGTCCATCTATTCCCAGATGACTCTTGAGACGTGAAAGGAGGAGTTTATGATCTACTGTGTCGAAAGCCGCGCTGAGATCTAGGAGCACTAGAGCTGATACTTCACCATTATCGAATGCACACATAATATCGTTGTGAACACGCAAAAGTGCTGTCTCTACGCCATGGTTTGGCTTGTATGCAGACTGGAATGCATCGCTGAGATCATGTTCACTGGCATGTTTATGAATCCTTGCACAGACAACCCAAGTGTTTTACCAAGAAATTTCAGATTAGATATTGGTCTGTAATTTCGGAGAACTTCCTCATCCAGTCCTGCTTTTTTCAGCAGAGGTCGAATGTAGGCAATTTTCAGGCTATCTGGAAATATGGCTTCAGCAAAAGATTTGCTCACCAGAGAAGTAATAAAAGGAGAAAACACATTGACACATCATTTGATCAGAGACATCGGGACTGGATCTAGTTCACAGGACTTGCTGGGAGCCTTCATAATGACCGCTTCAATTTCTTTCTTTGTTACTGGGCAGAATGTATCCAAAGTCAGAATCTTTGTAGCTGCTGTTGAGGATAGCTGTATATATCCTCCATCTTGGATTCAGCATTATGCAGTGTAAACATAGAGCGAATATCAGCAATTTTGTTTGAGAAGTATTCAGAGAAAGTGTTGACTAAGGCCTCATCTGATTCAGCTGTAGGCATTACACGTTTACTTGTAGTGTTGAGAAGCCCTTTCACTATACTGAATAACTTCTTCTGATCACCATGACTTACATCAATTTTTGTTGAATAATGTTCAGTAATTGCATGGTTGATCAATTTATTAACAGTATCTTTTTACAGATTAAAACTGTCCCTATTAGACGTGGTCTTGGCTTTGCGCCAATGGCGTTCACATCTTCTACAGGCCTGTCTAGCTAAACGGAGATATCCTCGGTAAACCAAGGGCTTGACGGCCTCGATCGAACAGTCCTAGTGCTGATCGGTGCATGTCTGTCTAGAACACCAGTGAGCTGTTCCTCGTAATATCTTACAGCACAGTCTACTGAATTAAGTTCAATGTTAATCCCTAAAGGGACATACACACATCATCTGAAAATTTATTAATGTCCACTTGTTTCAAATTTCAAGTTTTAAGCGTAGTTGAGAGAAGAGGTATCTTGGTAAGGTTAATCGTAGCCATGATTCCATAATTATCAGAGAGTCCCGGATGAAAATGAACCTCCGAAATCAGGTCTGAAGAGCTTTGAGTGAGCAGGAGATCGAGGCAGTGGCCGCGTATATGGGTAGGCCCATTAACATATTGCACAAGGCTATGTGACTGCAGTAAGGACTTAAAGCGATTTGCATTACAATCAGCAGGATTGTCTACATGGATGTTGAAATCACCACATATCAAAATGTCAGACGGATGAAATAAATAGCCCTCAATCATGTTCTCAAATTCTTTTAAGAACTGATCAAAAGCGACAATGTTCCCATGTTCATCACGACCAGAACGATAAACGTTTATGACCCGGGCTGATTTTGAATTACATGTTACTTCTAGGTGAATAGACTCAAAAGTGTCAAATTTCAAATGATCACTCTTTTGACGCACAGGTATGTTTGATCTGTGAAGAAATCCAACCCCGCCTCCAACTTTGTTCTGTCTAGGTACATGAACTGGGTACATCAACTGAGTATTTATTGAACAGAAATTCAACTTCGATTCATCATTGCATGGCAGAGATCTCGGATTGGCATGGCAAGTGCCAACTATTCTACAATAACCCAAAGTAGGTCTATCAAATGTAATTCGGTTTGGGATCTGACGCTGCTTCCTGGCTCCAGCACGCACACCTCTGTGAGTTTTCTTGTATTGAGGAATTTCATATGCATCTTTCCCCATAAATGAAGTTTCCCCCTCTCGTGCGAAGGGCGGAAGCTTTGACGGTTCCTTAAATTATTAGAGAAAGCAGACGATTCGTTGTACCGTTCTCGACTCTTAATAAGCCCTATTTGTCTGAATTCAGTTTCCCCCTCTCGCGCGAAGCGCGGGAGCTTTGACATTTCATTGAATGATGAGAAAAAGCAGACGATTCGTTGTACTCAGTGTTCTCGACTCTTAATCCTTATCTGAATTCAGTTCCCCCCCCCCTCCCGCGCGAATCGCGGAAGGTTAGATGTTTTTTTACGAAGCTGATTCGTTGAACCGTTCTAGACCCGCATAAATGAAGTTTCCCCCTCTCGTGCGAAGCGCGGAAGCTTTGACGGTTCCTTAAATTATGAGAGAAAGCAGACGATTCGTTGTACCATTTTCGACTCTTAATAAGCCCTATTTGTCTGAATTCAGTTTCCCCCTCTCGCGCGAAGTGCGAAAGCTTTGACGGTTCCTTAAATTATTGGAGAAAGCAGACGATTCGTTGTACCGTTCTCGACTCTTAATAAGCCCTATTTGTCTGAATTCAGTTTCCCCCTCTCGCGCGAAGCGTGGGAGTTGACGTTACATTGAATGATGAGAAAAAGCAGACGATTTGGTGTACTCAGTGTTCTCGACTCTTAATCCTTATCTGAATTTAGTTCCCCCCCCCTCCCGGCGAATCGG